AAACCACTGAAATTAAAAGTTTTCCATAAACACAAGTCTTTATGATTCTCTGATTATCAATGATTTAGAAAATGTGCTGGGCATAGTTGTTGATCTTCATTATTAGTTTCCCATGCAAAAAATGCGCCCTCTCAGTTGAACATAACAGGAAAAATTAAAAAAGGCCATTCTATACAGCGTAAAAAAAGGGAATGTGTCATATCATTCTTTAGTAGCACTTTGCTTGACTGAAATCACTTCATGTAAATAAACATTATAGTTGCTGGCTATGACAGATGTAAAAATATTTTAAAAAGGCTATCTTCGAAAAAAAGCTTCTAAAGCATCTAGATTGTTAATTACTAATTTCTGGTGTGTAGCCTGGTCAGGACATTAGCAGTAAATCTTCCGTGTTGCAAATGCAACGTCTTTTCTGTTCGCGCCGTTTAAAAGGAATGTAGGGATGGAAAGTAAATTAGCATATTTTAATTAATAGGGGAAAGAATGGGATGTTTTTTTCAATCTTTCCCAACATACATACGCAAAATTGTTAATGACGGACAAAAAACAGTATAGTTTAGAGAAAGAATCTTCAGAGTGTCATATAACTTCCAAAGGTAATGTTAGAAAGAATGGCGCATTTGAGCGATTATTTGTTTTAGACCAGCTAGTAAAAGCTAAGCCCTGAAATAATCAAATATTACACTATAGAAAACAGATTATTTGTCTACATGTCAGGAATTTGACTTTTACGTAGACGTTTTACGTTGGCTATTTGGGCGTCAAATGATGATTAAAGACAACTCATTTGTCTGCGTTGCCTGGACGTGTTTCCTTCTGCATTGTAGGGCCTATTATGATAGAGGTATGTCTTTTCCGCCACTATGGTTGGCGCTAATGTTACCAGAGAGAATCATTCTCTTATAACGGTAAAAAAGGGGCGGTCTATCAAGTCAAACATTTCATCCCATTCATTACAATTTGGTAAGCACAATTGGAGGGAGCTGCGGCCTCCCACCACCCTAATTCGACGGTCCGGCAATCAGTAGAGAAACTTGCCAACATGCAAATTTCGTCAGCTAGGCTAGCCCAATTACTCGACCAAAGATTGATACATCTGTAAGGACATTATTCAATTATTCTTCGATTTCTGAGAAAGGCTTTACATTAAAAACTTTAACCCCAGTGTTTCTCAAGGGCTGTACTAGTCATTAAGATACGATTCAACAAAGATTCAGGCAGGAAAAGTAAAATATCGTAGAAAAGTAAAAAAAATAGTGATTGGCAACTAGCCGTTTTTTGTGGATTTAAAGAGCGTTTCATGTAAAAATCTTCTTCCTGTATCAAATATTGAAGGGAATATGACTATTTAAAAATATTTACAGAGGATAGCTATATAATATATTTTCCTATTTTTAACGAAGAAGGTTGATCGTCGTGTCAATTGGGCTGGATTTTTAATAGTGAAGAAGATTAGAAGGCCCAGAAAAATCTTACATATATAAAACTAACAAATCATACACAAAAATACATCTTTACGATAATTTTAATAGTAAAATTTTTCAAATTTCTGATTAAAGAATAGAAAGTAGCATTGATTTTGCCATCAAGAGTACCTGGTTATTTTAGAAAGTTAACACGTAGTAAATGATGCCAACTTGGCTAGACATAATCAAAGAAAAGCAGGTTCGGGGGCATTAAGACTAACTCATTTTAATTATATATTAGCAACCAGTACAAGTCATTGCCTTCTGGTAAAATAATGTACGAGCCATTGGTTCTAAAAGAAAACGTACCATAGCTAAACTGGTTGGCTGTTGAACTGTGCAGCACAAACGCAAAAACAGGAGTGCAGGCATTACCTCTGCATTGACCCCTAATTTGGTACCAGCTGCTTGTGATCAGGTTGACTAGCTTGAATTCGATTTCATTGCATACTCAAACGCAAGCTTCAGCCACTGCGGTAAAGACACACATTGAACAGAAGAATCGACGTACGGAGTTTTACTAAAGGTATGTTTACTAAATAATTGACTTACTAATTGCACTGTTTATTTTCATTAATTTCTCAATTCACATAAGTTCGACGGATTTGCGTTTAAAAACTTTCTTTCAAATGATTTTTGAAAATATGACTAAAACGGTTCATTAAAAATGAAGAAAAGATGCGTATACGGCAAATGTATGATTTTATAAAAAGAAACTAAAACATTAAGAAATAACAGAACCCTACTCATGATCTATACTGAATCGTTCATCTATCCGTAGTTTTCAAAAATCGCTCTACAGCCAGAGGCAGACAAAATCCCAAACCAATTTCATATCCTTAGCAAACAAAAAATAACAACCGTTTTGAAATCTCATTATTCATAATTTCGTCTTGCACCTGACTTTTAGATGTTTTTTTTAAATATAATAGATCTGTGTTGATTTTCTTTGCGTTTGAATTTAATGATTTTTGACCTACCAAAAAGGAAGGGGAGTTTACTCCTGAACCCAAAATACATGGAATTGTTTAATATATTGTTACTTTTTCTGAAAACTCAAGTTTTACTCCATGTATTTAATGCAAGTGGAAGAAATATTCCCCCATGGCCATGGTCTTACCTAAAACTCATTTCCTATGTTTTATTGAAACTAGCAAAGCTAGCCGCGAGTACAAATTAAACATAATGATTTTCAACTCCTAGACCAATGTTTATAAGAGAGCTAGCTATCATATATTATAAAAAAGATTTTCTAATATCAAAGATCTGAGAATCGTATCAGTCAAAATTGTTTTGAAAGTCGAAAAATCCTATCAGACGAAAAATTCGAAAATTCGAAAAAAATTACAGCTTGGGGTTCAGGACTTCTAGAAAGAACTTAAAGCTCATTGAAATTTTTGGTATTCTCTTCACATATTTTTAAGTAATAAATCACGTGATATATCATCTATGAACAGGGAGAATCACCGTCGAGACTAGGGAAAAATGTAACGACGCCAAAAAAGAATTGAAAGGAACCCCTCTTTAAAAGAAAAACTACTATCTCAGCACTTACAAAAAAACATCTAGAAATGTTTTCATCGAAGATTTATTCGTTGGATGCTTTTAAAGAAAATAATCGCCGATAATTTTAGCCTGCGGGGCTTCTAGGCTCATAGTGTGTCAAGAGAACATTGAAAACTGTCAATCTGTCTATTCTGAAGTGAAATTTCTAACGATAGCTTTGAAGAACACAATGATCGATGATTGCAAGGGGGTATTCTAAAAAACATTTGAATGCTGCTGTGCTGTCTAGCCATATATTAATAATTGTTCGGTGAACCGCAAGGGCTGTGAAGGGGTCAGTGAAGCTGGTAGGTGGATCAGCTACCATTTACAGGTGCCAATGGTCAGGGCACCTGTTGAAATCAGTGGTCTGTGAAGGTCTATGAGCAATTTCCAGGTACCAGCTGTGTTCAACTTACAGGTAGACTATGTAATTGAACAGCCCCTCTATTCTCAACATAAAGGTCTTCTAACATTGTCTAAAGGATAGCGGCTAGTGCAGGCGACTGTTGAAGCATACGGACTTACTTGTCTTATAGAAGGTAATGGATTACATAGTCATCATTCAAATAGTATAGCGATCCTTTCTTTTCCATTTCAAGGAATTTACTGTATTTTATAGTATTCTACTTTTGTATTTCATTCAGGTGTATATGCAGCTACTGTGTGAGTTTAGTGTAATTTGAACGTTAAGTAAAATCTTTTATTAGTTTCAGCAATCAATAAGATATGACAGCAGTTTTATTTTTTCATGCAATTATAATTTTCAAAAAACAGAAGCTAATAGTTCGGAGCAATTCAAATGCGTTTTCTAAATTAAAGCAAGCTTCATTTTCACACATTTTGAACACATTATACTAACTCGAACGATACGACGTGGTTATTAAATACTGCAGAATTTCCCAACATGGTAACTTGATTAATGAGATGTTTATTTATTTTAGAAAAATGTGGCTAAAGATCTCAATCGTTGTCTTGGCAGTCGCCTCAGTGGCATACGCCCGAAGCATCGAAAGTAAGTCATTCGTAATGTTTTGCGTCGTAATGCTTTTCGCCACTATGCACACATTCGTAATGTTTTGCGTCGTAATGCTTTTCGCCACTATGCACACATTCGTAACATTTTACGTTGTAATGCTTTTCGCCTCTATGCACACATTTCGGCTTTATGCATCAGAATGAATCTTCAGTGTTTAGCACCTCCATATAATCTTTACTTTTTGGATCATACATTCTCAGTTTATATAATGTAATGTAATGATTACTTATATAATAACGGGAACCAGCAAACAAACTCCAAAAGTCTTGAGTTACATTCAGACATCTGGTCGTGTTCTTCAGATTATAACTAAAGGTATCGTTAGGACATACCATTAGAAATTAAAGTAGCAAAAATGTTATAAACACTTTGAATGAATACCTTTTGTAGTTCTGTGAATCAAAACCACCGACCTGCAAGAAAATGATAAACGAAGTTGATGATAAAAAGCATATTTCACTTGCAAATATATAAAATCGAGACTAGACAAGTACATTTGGCAATCGTTTATTAAGAAACGCTGTAATTACAACCATTTATTACATCAGGACAAATAAAACAATCATGAGAATGCAATCAAAGAGATTTTCAACTGGAAACGCAAATGCCATTAGAGTAGCTTTTCTAGACCAAAATAGTACGATACTCTATTGGAATGAACAGTTTGAAATGATACGTTTTAAATTGATACATTATTGAAATGATACGCGATCGATCATTTGAAACTAACAACTTCAACCTTTATGTTTAGATGGAATGAAAAGACAAGGAGTCTGTCCAGCACAATGCGCAATTAACTGCGCTCCAGTCGTCTGTGCTCCAGTTTGTTGTGCCCCACCACCACCACCACCACCACCAGGCCCACCAGGACCACCAGGACCAAACGGACCCCCAGGACCACCAGGACCTAACGGACCACCAGGACCAGGAGGACCTCCAGGAGGACCAGGACCCGCTGGACCACCCGGACCAGCAGGAGCCCCAGCTGGACCACCAGGACCTGCTGGAAACCCAGGACCACTTGGACCCCCAGGAGGACCAGGACCACAAGGACCACCCGGACCTCCAGGACCACCAGGACCACCTGGACGACCAGGACCCCCAGCTCCACCACCACCACCACCACCATGCCCACTTATCTGCCAGACCGTATGCACACCTGCCTGTCCTCCAGCATGCCCATGCAGAAAGAGAAAGTAAATTCAACGAAACAATTCTTCGAAATACAAACATTCTTTTCGCTTTGGCTTTAGGAACTGCTGCTGACCAGGAACACTTGTTTTAGTAAATTTAAATCGACAAATCTGATTATCAGATGCTACAAAATTATGTGTCCTTTAAGAGAAGCATGTCTATAGCAAAAAACATGACTATGCACAACAGCCTACAACCTCAATTTGAACAATCACAATAACAAATAATCACCGTAAACTTATTGCACACTACCTGTCATTAAAATCAAGTGCCATACTTAGTGTTAGGCTATAACCGTTAATTTATTTGATTTAACTCATATACCTTTACGTTGAATATTTGGTTTCTTTTCTCAATACTCCTTCTTGCAATGCCTTGGTTGCCGATCTAGATGCCAGTAACTCTAAAACTTCCCTCAATACTTGATAGCCTTTGGCAACACTTGAAGAACAATTTATTACTCTTACAATATTTTCCTAAACGGTTTCTGATAAAAACAAAAACAATGTTAAAAGATTGCTAAAATGTTGCACAAATATTCTCTTTAGTCGAAATTTTTGCTCTGGTTTTTCCGATTACAAAATTGAAAATACAAGTAGGGCTAGAAAGAGTACAGGAAAAATGCAAGCAATGCAGTTTGCCCCGGCAAACGTACACGTTTGGAAGCGTCTTTTGGTGCGGTGCATAAAACACGATTGGGATAGGTGTAATGGATTCCATTAACCTCTTTCTCGGTTAATCTTGATGGCCTCTTTTTTTAAATAAGCCCTCAGTGAAACGCAATAGCCTTTAAGCAATGACTTATGGGTACTGGGCCATTATGCCCAATGTCTACTGTGGTAATTTCCCGGAAAAGCTATTTCTAAAAAAGGGATAGGAGCCCAGTTCCTCGAAATGGAAGACAGTTGTCAGTTGAATAATAGTTAGATGGCAAGGTAGTCAATGTGTACTGCAAGCAAGCTGTACTTGCTCGAATGGGGAAAATTAAAAACTTTTCCAAATACTTTTCCGAATAAGAATTGGTCAAATTATGTGAGCATAAATACTGTACCTTAATAAAATTAATCAGTTTTGTACACTGAAGACATTGAATAGAACAATGAAGGAAGATAAAAAGGCATATCACACAAATTTGAGAAAGACCCTAAGCTAAATATCTTTAGTTTAGGAAAAAAATTTCAAACCTCTCCGCAATGCATGAAACGTAATTTGCTTTAACACAGTTTGTAATCTGTCAAACACATAAAGTTTTAGGCAGAAGTAGTGAAAGAAAGAATAGAACAAAAATATAATGTACACCAGATTCTTGCCAAAAGCTAGGCTGATTTAATAAGGACTGGGTCAAAATTTAGGCTTCTTTTGCGCATCCTTTTGCCAAAACTCCACGCATTAAACATTCGAGTAAGGGCAACCATGTTGATTAAAAATATTACAACATGTCCACGATCATCGATTCTCTACTTTCGAAAGGTCAAAATTATCATTTTGGTTGTTTTCTGCTTTAATTGTCTAAATCTGTTCAATTTGGGACTACGGAGGAGAGATGGTGATTGAGGGGTTTTGGAAACGAGGGCCAAATATGCATCAGATATTCTGTACCTTTCATGATGTATATAAACGATTGCCAAAGACTCATGCACCAATGCCATAACTATGTTCGTATACTTTATTTAACCGTTATTTTGGGGCGAAGTGTCATATAATTGCACAGTTGAACTTTCTGTCATTTATATGTACTAAAATACTTTCCAATATATTTGAGAAAACAATTTCATGATTCTATTAGGCGAGTAAAAAATTAGCATGAGTAAGATGCAAAGTCCTCAGCAAAATTTACTGGGTTTACTGGGTTTATTCAAATTTGTTTACTTCAATAAAATAATGACTTTTTTCATTTACAAACAATGAGGCTTTTGTTTGTGGTAACATTTATTGATCATGATCTTAGGATCATCACTTACAGTTTAGTAAATGAGTAATAGCGAAAAAGTGAAGATGCAATAGGAACTAGACAAATGAACAAAATGCAAAATCTGAACATACATTGTACATTCGTATGGTTTTGAAACGATGAATTTAGTTTTGTTACAATGTACATTTGATTCGAGAAGGCTAGAAAGCGCATCTGGTCTAGGAGAACAAAACTCCTTCAGGTTTATGACATGATGATTATTATCGTGTATAAAATAAGAAAAAGATCCATCGGCCTTGCTGAGATAAATTAAACCGGGCATTTAGAATTGTGAGCTAGTTTCACAGGTTCCGGTACACACGACTTACACTGACAAGCTTTGATGAATTTGCAAAAAATTCTGTCCAAATGCCCTTGAACAAGATTACTCAAAAGATACGGAATTTAAACGAAATTATGAACACAGTGTCCGGAGGGCGATCAGATGAAACACCAGTTGCTATGATTATAGATACGATCAAGAAAGGGCACAGTACCTGAGACAGGTAGATCAAAACGCAACCAAATTACCGGATAGACATAAAAAATTTACGACAATATACATCTATAGGTCAGACGGAAAAGTTATTTGAATTTGAGAGGGGGAACAGAGTACCTAGTGAGTATCTTTGACTAAAATTCTAATGATTAAAAAAAATCAATCTGCAATTGAAGGATGCTTGCAATGAGTTTGAAATACGCTTTAAATCAGTTTTGATTTTGAAGATTCTTGTTTTCTTTGATACATTATGTTAAAGAACTGATTAAAAAGCTTTTTTGATGTTACGGTTGCAAAATCTAGGCATTTGTATTTGATGTAGATTGCCATGAAGAAGTACACAAACATTCTTAATGCTTTCATTTTGTAAAATGTACATACTTTCCAAAAATCTTATGAACAACTATATTTATATAAAAACACTATCGTAAGGAATAACAAAATATATCAACCTTCAGATTATATAGTATATTGAAAAGAGAGATCGAAATTTCTCTAAACAAAACCGGGAAGACAATTTTGCGACCCTATCAATGCTATTGCAAAGCCATTACTCGAAAAAATTTTTTGCCTGTAAAACTAGTGGCAGAGGAACAAATTGCATATAATAAACTTTTGAAAACTCAAACAAATAAAGATTATTTGGTCAAAAGGCAAAAAATAGGAAGGTTGAAAAATCGGCTTAGATCAATCGAAGGTTGAAAAATCTGTGTAAATGCTTTAAAAAGGACCGCAATGTTTTTCGGAAGCACAGAGATACAACAAGAGTTAAATAGTCACTTTTGAATAAACAAACAAAATCTGCGCTATACTTCTTGTTTTCGTTATACTTCTTAAAATCTTGAAGAATTAAATTAATGCCGAAGTCTTTTTCAGGTCAAAATGTTGCTGCAGATCTCTGCTGCCCTGGTCACCATCTCCATGGTATCGGCATATAACAGTAGGTTCTTCTAAATTTCAGTGCTTTTAGATGCAGGGTTTGTTCAATTTTTCAAGATTGTACTACATGATATTCAACTAGGATTTTACTATAAAAATCAATAGGATATTCATTTGAAATCAATGACTAGAAAAAAACCAAAAAGGACTACATAATCAGAAATTCAAACTTCGACATAACCTTCAGCTATAGACTAAACTCAAAGTTCCTTGAGATACAATTTTATCTTATATACAAATTGGAACGATTTTTTACTTACATACGAATTTGGTCTATGTTTTTTTATTTACTCGTAAGCTTATTTGAGTGTTGCGGTTAACAATCTTACAGGATCCTCAGTGAGCAAATCACATAACAATCAGATCCTTACGATCGGAACTTGGGTCCTTGCCAAACCCAATATCTTGCAGAGCTCTTGTGTAAATAACATGGACAAACATTTAGAACATTGTTAATTATCGATTTGCAAAACCAGTAACATTTCTTGTAACTAATTTTCGTTCCTTAGTACCAAGCTCTTTAAAGAAAAGACAAGGAATCTGCCCTGCATCGTGTTTTGTAAATTGTGCACCAGTCGTCTGCCCTCCTGTTTGTTGTGCTCCACCCCCACCACCGCCACCAGGTCCACCGGGACCACCTGGAATTAATGGACCTCCAGGACCACCCGGCTTTAACGGACCACCAGGACCCCCAGGACCACCCGGAGGACCAGGGCTTCCCGGACCCCCTGGTCCACCAGGAGCAGCTGCAGGACCGCCAGGAACACCAGGCGGACCAGGTCCCAACGGACCACCCGGACTTCCAGGACCACCAGGACCACCAGGGCCTCCAGGCCCACTCGGCCCCCCAGGACCACAAGGCCCTCCTGCACCACCACCATGTCCCGTCATCTGTCAAACTTTCTGCGCGCCAGTATGTCCACCAGCTTGTCCATGCCCACGAAGAAGAAAGTAAACCGAACGCTTGTAACATTTTCGCAGAACTATCATTCACAGAAATTCGCACAAATGCTAATAACGCAGTGTTTACCTAATAAAATATTTACATTAAAATGTTTGAGTGCAGTTGTCGTCCGTATTGTTTCGTTTTAACAATTTTGTAGAGTTTTTAGATAAGCATCTTTTGGTTGATATGATTAACAAAAATCCAATTTATTCTTTCCTGTAAGTAACTAGTACTTGAAGTATCATATGTGAATAGATGAAATTCGTGCTTATTTTTCTCGAGTGTTTTTCTTGAAATAATGGCAAAAACTTTTCAATCCTTTTGCGAATTCTATAGATCTGGTGACTGCCCCGACAGTTGAGAATAAATAAAAGAGACTTCTAGAACAAATTCAGTGATGCATCGAAGCATGGCGTGTGGCATCTGCTTTATTCAATTTTCCTACAATGTCCTAAATGTCAGAAAATAAAAGAGTGCAATGAAAGCTGGAAAGGCCATCAGCAAGCTGGACGATTATGATTATGTTGACCTTAATTACAAAAAACAACCTAATTGCATAATGCTTCTTAAATCAACTCGACAATCACATTCTTGTAACACGAAGAATGCTTGCCTTCTTGCTACTTCATAATGCTTCATAACCAATTTCTTTATTAAAGTGTGCTAACGCAAAAAAGGTACGTTTCTCGATTTAGGTGAATTTCTTCAAGACTGAGGGATAAAGAACATAATCTGTATAATTTTGAAATAACTTGAAAGCACTTCACAGGTTTGCGAAAAATTTAGATGGACAAGAACATTCTTGAAGTGCAGAAGAAGAGGAACTTTTTATTAAAAAGGGGAAACAGCTCAGAAGATGCTGTGATGAACTACACATGGATTACACACTACACAACAGGCACAATTTTTACTGCGACATTTCAGGCATCTTCTGTATTACTTCTAAATGAGACAAACGGGGTGATTTCTAGATCTTAGTTGTTGACTTCTTTGTCTTTCTTCGTCTGTAGGACGTTTCTAAAAATGATCTACAGGAGCGAAGCATTCCAACTACTGTTAAATATGTCAAACAAGTATATAAAATATGCAGGTATAAAGTAACAGCGAGATGCTCCGAAGAGGGAACTGAAATAGTTAAGACATTCATACTCCACATATCTATGGACAAAAAATCATTTTGCCAAAAACTTCTCCAAGACCAACATAAGTTATTGATTAAAACGACACTTCTAATCAACATAGAAATAATGAAAGAACTCTGCTGGCAGGTTACGAAATCATCAGATCCAATTAACATCCTAACGCAGATCATTTTTTCAACTTGTGATTCACAAACATTTCAAAGTGCAATCCACATTTGACTACTCTAGACATCAGAAATACTTATTGCACTGGCCATATATATCGTAATAGCAAGTCAGACTAAGGTTAGCCATAAGATCCTGACGAAGCGTGCAAGCTTTCTTCATTATTTGCCTGGATCTGCAAACTGCACTATAAGTGTATCGAGATAACATTATAAGCTCCATGACGACAGTGTAAAAGCCACGGAAACGGGTGGTCATCGAGGAATACAATACGATATCAATCACACCGTGACATGTGTAATTGTCATTGCTCAGCCATGTGCATGAACATGCACACAATTAGAATTATGTAATGCTTGTAAGTCAGGTATCTGCATCCTGGACACCTCTGAGTTGCATTACTGCAGGAAAAAGTTGCCGAGGTAAGTCCGAGACATTATTGGTTTTTACAAGATTTAAATAGATCTTGTCTTGATCATTAATTATATAGCTTTACTGCTTACGGTTCGAATAAAATGGCATATGAAAGTATAAACAGACATTATTTTATGATTTCAGGCACTTAAAAAATATCGAAATTTCAGGACATTTTTGCTTAAAGTAGATCACTTGCTATATCATCGACAACATTTACCAACGAGAAGCACCACCACTCTTCAACTGAGCTTGAGTAAATGACCAATCTTGTGATCCTTTGATCTAAGCCATTAAAGATTTATTCCTCAAAAGAGATTTTTCATAGAAAATTGATCATTTTCTGTATTCATATCATGCAAGGCTTTGAGATCAATACATTTTTCATCTTACAAAAATTGTGTTTTCGTGCTGATTTTCTTTGATAAACGGTGCATTGCCTCAATTTCAAGGTTTTTGACGAGCTTTGATCGAAAACGCTCGAGGTACTAAACAGTTTAAAGCCAGTTACTGAAAACATCATCCTTCTTCGTTCCTTTGTTCGGCTTACCCAGAAAGAAAATTAACTGAATGAAAAGCTAGACCTTTTTGAATCTTGCTTGTTGCTGCATGCATCTTCCGTTAAGTGTTCTGCTCCGAGAAACGTCACGTTATGGGAAGCAAAGAATCAAGTCGAAGAAACCAGACATTCTTGTTATATAATCTTATTGATAATGTGATGCTAATGCGTACCTCAGTTTGGGTTCAGTTCAAAATGAGACCTTCCTTTCATGTTTCGTTTCAGATGAATATCAAAGGGTTACTTATTTTGGCTCTCATAGCCATCGTCAGCGGCAAACACGTTCACAACAGAAGTAAGTCAGTTTACTATACTGCGCAACTGATTTCTCTCTACTTCCTAACCAATCAAGGTCGGATTTGTAGCCAAGAGTCAAAATAAACTAATATAGCCTTGCGTGGGTCAGATAGAAAATCAAAAAGAAATTTTATTGTAATTTTTATATACATAACACAGGCTATTGGGATGAATTCAGACCCACAATATTAAAATAATTGGGCATTTCATGAACGCAACTTACTTTTAAGAGTAATGTTATATCTTAATGCTAGAAAAGCTGATTTGTTGGCAACATGGAATTGTTATACTAGTAGGCAATTAAAAAATTGATGATTAAAAGTTTGTAAAATGTAGCCAATCTAGATATCAACCTAAATTTCAATAGAAAAGTGTTTGGATTTGAAGCAGTTAGGTAACGGCAGAGGAATATATCCTATCTATAAAAATGGATCTTGTAAACATTCTATCTTCGTGACTTTCGGTTAATAACCAATTTTAAATCAGTTGATTATCTTTTTTCTCAACAGATGCTATCAAAAGACAATCCATCTGCCCATTAGACTGTCCAGCAGCATGTGCTCCAACATGTGACGTAGTGTGTTGTGCACCTCCACCACCACCACCACCGCCACCACCCCCACCACCCCCTCCACCACCACCTCCTCCTCCACCACCACCTCCACCACCACCACCAGGCCCACCAGGCCCACCAGGTCCACCAGGAGCACAAGGACCAAATGGAGCCAATGGAGGAACAGGACCACAAGGACCAGTAGGCCCTGCAGGACCACCAGGCCCAGCAGGACCACCAGGACCACCTGGAGCACCATCACCATGTCCACCTGTTTGTCAACAAGTGTGTGCACCAATCTGCCCAGCACCATGCTGTTAGAAGATTTGACGCAGTTCAAAGATATAAGGACAGAAAAGACATCATATGCTAATTCGTCAACGGATTTGCAAAATGACAATTCTCAGCTTAGAGAAATTCATACATAAACATATGACTTGAACAGCCTTTGTAATAAAACACCTTCAATAATTAAATTACGTATTCGATCTTATCAGAATTAAGCTTTGTAAAAAAATCTGACACATACCTCAACTCAGTTTTTTGCGTTTACAATCTTTTGCATCGTAAGAGTTGCCACACTCGTCGCAGTCAACTAGATCGAAACAATGCACCCTGAGAGAATAAATGGAAAACATTAAAGCCACAATATTGTTACGAACAAAATACTGATGCAAAAATCAGGAGATTCGATTTATAAATATACTGATAAACAACGTTGCTAAGCACAGATAAATACTTCACTTCCTCCTATTTGAACCCTTTCTAGCGGTACAAAATGGCTTTGAAAAACATCTTTAATATAACTAAAGCTTCTTTTCTGACACACTCCAGAGTATAAAACGTCAGAAAATAGATTGAAAACTCTAAACTAGAAAATACGCTATTTGGTATAAAGAACAGAACGATTATAAGTTGCTACAAGAACCGTCCTGTTCTATACACCAAAGAGCGAGTACAGCTCTACCTATACTTTGTCGAGTTGGTTATGACAGACTGGTAAACAGTAATGTTCATAACCTATAAAATATATACCCAGTTGTGGATCGAAATATGCCAATCAGGAACGCAAACATATGACTGTTAAGATTGCCCAATCAGTGCTGCTTGCTTATTTAAAATACTACCAATAGTGTCCCACAGTGTAAGAGAACTTCTGTCTAAACAATAGCGATTTTTGCATGTTTATGTAGATATAAAACTTCCAAAATGTAAAACGACGATCGGCCGCTACACATATCGTTCGGGCTTGATGATCTACTTGCTTTCTTAAAGCCATTTTTCTTTCATTTGATTTTTTTATATATTCGATTGTGCTTTTATCCACTATATGCGAAACTAAGGAGGTAATTGCTTGATTTCGGCATGGTGTTGTTGGAAGACAAGTAAAGAAAATTCCCGCCAATTACCTATAGGAAAAAAATAAAAAAAACGGGCTTCTGATTGGCCACATAAACAAACTTTACGAGATGGCTGGAAAGAGAGCGAACTAGTTAGCAGTGGACAATAGCATGTGCAAGGACAAAATACAAGGCTAGCTAATACAAGCGCTGAAATACTGGTTTGTACTGATGAGATCAATAATAGAGACCAACATTCATTCACGTCATTCATCGTGACATACTGAGGTAAAGGGTCCTAAAGGAGGGTCTTAATCCAAGCTCCCAGCCAATTTTTGGCAAAATTCCATTCCCATCAGGCGCTGTTCAAATCTCCTTCGCAGGGTGGTGACAGAAGTCAACAAAATAGCTTCCCCAGTTGCCTGACAAATAATCTATTTATCTTTAAAACAAATTCTTGAAAAACTAGGTTCTAAAAGCATGCTTAATATCCGCTAAAACGTGCTTCAATTTTAGAGTGTGATAAAAATACAAGAATATCTTCCTTTACATAGCTTGTTTACTGATCGTGTGCTTCAGTGTTGAAGATTGCTCTTAGCAAGGTCAATTTGAAAATGATTCGATCTTATGATTGATTACGGGCCTTGCACTACCTGTTCTAACTTCAGAGCTTCAAATTTCGGAAAGTTTCTGCATCATAATCTAACGCAATAAAACAACCTGCCATCGGATCAAAAATGAACGAAAACCAGCTTATTTCCATGCAAGTCATTTTAAAGAAGGAAAAATCGATTTGTTATAACTTTCTTTTCAAAAACGTCAAGCAATATGCAACGTTTTCAAGAAGATGGAAAAAGTTATAAAAATGTTTTGAAGATAGAACTTGAAACTGTAAACATTTTTACACAAAATTGTATCATAGATATTGATGATAACGAGTAAAAATGAACTCTATTAGAAAGGCGTTTTACGACATGATAGAAAAATTCACGAGGGGTCGAGGAACTTTGTTTATTAAAGGAATCATGGTTTACATAAATAACTGCCAAACTGAACAGGGGACCAAGAAATAAGTTGAATAACAAGGATGATGTGATAATTGTGAAGCAATTTTGACCTTCCTTTTGGAATGTCAGCTAGTCTATTTATTCCTGTGCGAAAATCCAACAGGTGCTTGGTTTCAAAATCACTGAAGACACTTTGATTACGACCAACAAGGTATACGGGCCCAGCTCATGATCACGACGTAATTTCCGAATTTATCACCTTGACCCTTTATTCTGGGGCAAGGTGTTGCTCACCCAACCGGTTTGTTTAGGGTTGCTGATAAATCAAGCGTGTAAATGTAATGAATAATTGATGACAGCCAGTTAACACAAGTGCCTGATTTGTTACTCACACCATTTGAGGAAAAGAACAGCAAGACAAGGTAAGTCTACTGATTCTTCATTTCATATCTTCAAGTTAAATCGATCACAGAAGGTCATTGGCATACACAAAAGGTAACTTTAAATGCTTCTTGAATTAATATATTTCAACAACTTACAAAAAGCACATCAATTTGCTATAGCATTTAGTTTTACTGAATCATTTACAGATTAAACATTTTTCTTTGGTAAAAGTGTAGGAATCATTCATATGCATTCTACAACAAAAGCAAAAATAGTATTCTTTGAGGAAAAATATCGTTAATGGTTGAAGATTTATATATGGGGGATTTCAAAAATTGAAAGCGAAAAAATTGGATGTTTTGATTACTAACTACGAAACCTGCACCAGATCAACATTATCTTTAGGCTTTAGTTCGGGAAACAAAAGTTAAAATAATAATAATAAAACCAATATAAAGAAAATGAATATTAAAATTAAAATAACTGACTAGTTGTGGATGTTTTTGCGAAGATAAAGAAAACCATTTATATTTTTGTGATTTTAGATGAAGCTCCAAATCTTCGTAGCAGTCTGCATTGTTGCAGTTGTAAGCGGCAGAACCATCCAGAGAGGTATTTCGTTTTTCAATTGCATTCATATATATTTTATAGACGGATCTTTATGAGTTCTAAGATTCCGAGCAATAACCCTATGACAAAAATTCAATCATAATTTGCCTCAGAATTTGCTTAAAGAATAATTAGCACATTTTCTTAAGTAGTAAAGGTATTACAGTGAACGACGTCTAACTTACAGTAAACAAAGACAGGGCTACATACCGATCACATTTCTGTGAGAAATAATTATGATCAAGATAATAAAGCTGATCAGTTTTTCCATATTATTTTGTTATGATGCATTTCAACGCAATGATGATTAAAATTCAAAGCAATGACTCTACAGAAGAGGAGAGATCAAACAATTCTAAGATAGATTTAAAAAAATACACAGGTGAAAGCATATTTAGAAAGATAACGTGTTGATAATACTTGCTGATATATGGATCATCATAACATGGACGTGACTGGTCACCTGTTACCCATTCCAAAATTATCGTAAGCACCACTGTTCAACATCCCGTTCATATAATGTTTTCATTTCCTATCTTATGGACTGATGAGCGACTTGATCATCTAGAGGAGAATCATTGAATAATGTTTTCATTTCCCATCTTACGAACTGATGAGGGTCTAGAGGAGATGAATAATTTCACGAAATTCTGTTTCAGCTGGATCAAAGAGACAGTTATGTCCTAATGCATGCCCAGCCACTTGTGCACCAGCATGCATGCCAATCTGTTGTGCTCCACCACCCCCACCACCACCACCACCACCACCAGGCCCACCAGGACCACCAGGACCAAACGGACCCCCAGGACCATCAGGACCTAATGGACCACCAGGACCAGGAGGACCTCCAGGAGGACAAGGACCCGCTGGACCACCCGGACCCCCAGGAGCCCCAGCTGGACCACCAGGACCTGCTGGAAACCCAGGACCACTTGGACCCCCCGGAGGACCAGGACCACAAGGACCACCCGGACCTCCAGGACCACCAGGACCACCTGGACGACCAGGACCCCCAGCTCCACCACCACCACCACCACCATGCCCACCTGTCTGTGTCACAACTTGTGTACCAGCCTGCCCACCAGCTTGCTGCAGGAAATAAGCTCACAATGGCTCATCAAATTCAAATAATTGGATGTTAACATCCGAAAATAACATTAATGACATTGGATAGTGGATCATTGTATGATTCAACGAAAAGAGATCGCAGATGACACTGTAATGCGTTTGTAAAATATCTCTTTGACAATGTCAATATTTGTTCATAATAAATAAAAGAAAGAAACATATTTGTGTAAATGAGAAACTTTCATTCGACTGAGCCTTTATGCTATGTCTGAGGATATAAAACCAAAAAGTGAGACGGAAAGAAAGTGACCATGGCTTGATGCCACTAGAAGGGAGTGTCTATTTAGTTGGAAGATATTTTGTTTTCTTGATAGAGCTCATGCCTATCGATACAATCCTATACAAATGTAGGATCTTGGGTCGGTAGGCCATAATCAAACTTGCACTTCTGAGATGTTCGGGCAGGGGATCTTTTAAGAAATTTTCACTAGTGGGGAATTGATACAAAAGGGCATTTTTCTTAACGTGACGCAACTGATGGCAAAACAAAAGCAAAGGGACGAGTATGCATAGTATGTAAGTAAGTCGTTACTCCAGTGGTGTAGTCGTAAATTTGTATAGGATGCTGTACCCTTTTTAAGTCTTTTTCAGCCTCTTTATTGAAACTGGTATCTTCTCCGTCCACTTTTTTGTGTCCATTTGGCTACACAGCTTGCCCATTTGACACATATTTTTCTAGGTTTTCTACAACGTCAAGCCATTTGGTTTGTGATCTCAAGCTTTCATTTTTCCACTTGTGCAGGGAAGTGATTTTAAACATTGCTCTTACCATGCCTCTCTGTGCCATTGCCAATTTATGCCAGTGTCCATATTTTAACGCCATATGTTGTTGCTGGCATGACAGCATGACTCTACCCATATAAAGCGTTTCTTTTCTCATGAATCGACATATTGTCCATATCCTTGCCCTCCTGCAACTATTCTTCTGTCAATTTTCTTATTTGTTTCGTTTTCGGATATCAGCAGTCGACCTAGGTAATCACATACACTTGCTTTTTCTATGATCTTGTTCTCTAAATTGACCAATGAACAACATCGATCAACTACGGTACAGCATCACGAGCAAAAGGGTCTTCGAACTACACACGCCCAATTTACATAAGCAAATGTTCAAAATGCAACTGCCATATCTTCATGTGATTCTAATCACTTTCATAATCATTCGAACCTTGGTTGAGACGAGTGTTGAAATCCTAACCAATTCGTTTGGTATATTATCTAATCGAGAAATTGGCTATTTGTACTCACATCTCATATGATATTGATATTTAAGAAGCATAACGCTACTCTATACCTGGGTATGTAATAAAACGCTGCAGCTAAACAATTTTAAAAAGCGTAACGGCGTTACTCTCATGCAACGAAAAAGTACATATATAAGTCAGACAAAACAACAAGTGTTCAGATCTTAGCAGATTCGTCGATTCGTCGTAGAATATTCCCTCGAATTTCATTACCTCGCTTTGGTGTAGTGTAAGAAAATTAAACAGATTTACATTTGCGATGAGATGAAAGATGTAACACATAATTTGACACATATATAAAACGACATAACAAGCAGTAATTTGAGACGCGTCAAACGGGTTTTTTAAAACAATTTTCAACAAAAAGGCACTTGCTAGTGGGGAATCATAGGACAACTAGTGGAGAAATGTGACAGCCTGGTAGGAAATTTCCCCACTAGTTTGTATGTTAAAAGATCCCCTGAGTTCAGGGCAAACCGCAGGAAGAGAAAAATCTTTCGATTTGCGTAGCTCACCTTCGATTAGCTATGAACAGAAAAATTAGCTGAATGAAGGTTGCAATTTCACGTCATTAACATTTGGGGAAATTATGAAACACAGGTCCAAGCTCATTTTTGATGGTAGAGCGTTCCTTCCGTTTGACTAAATGAAAAACAAAACAAGAGGTAAAATGAAACAAACAAAAATTTTCAAACAATGAGCAATGCTGTGAAGGGTAATTCGTCGGCAAAAAAAATACATGCCTTGGTTGAAATATTGTTAACGTATCAAGACAGCATTGTCAAAACATCGCGCCTTAAATGTACTTATATGGATTGATTGCATGTTTAGGTAAGATTATACTATTGACTTGAACAACAATAGTAGGCTATATACTTTTAGGGGCAAGAATGTTTGAAGGACTCTAATAGGCCTTCCACGTGTTAACAAGAGCTGAAAAGAGATAATCATTATAATGCATCAGACATAGACTTCCAGCTTTGTTCATATAAGCAAAGAATTCTTGTATGGTATTGCTATATTGAGGTACTGTCTATAGAAATCCCGCAATTCTTTTAAAAATTTCAAGAGAATTCCAGCAATTTTGGTTTTAAACTATAGCGAAACTGACAAAAGCTGTTATCGTTGCAGCTTTCAAGAATACTATGCAAATGGCCCTTAAACAGTTGCATATTCCCATAAAAAGGACTTTGCCTTAATCAAATGCTAAAGCCTTTAATATAACACATCAGTTTGGCGTGGTAAAACAAAATGAAATTGGTTAATGCGTAAAGAGGGAAAGTACGATAGCAGCGGGACCATTCAAAGTAAGATAGTGCAGGAAGTCATTATTTGCCGTGCCGTTACTTTTGGAAATCAAACGCCATACTGTTCTCATAAACTGGAAGCGAGGCTGTTATACATAATTTGAAAGAGAAACAGATAAGAGAAACATATATTGATTGAAGGGGTTAGCTCTTCAAAGGGAGGCGAATGAAATGGGTTTATGTAGAGTCATTATTCCTCTGTCAAAAATAATATTTGATTAAAGCAATAAACTGTATTTTAGCAATTAAAAATAATATCGATAATGCACAAATTTTATGCAGGAATGACATGCATACCACTGCCACCAAGGTCATGCGAGTTAAAAAATTAAATTGAAGGAAATCAGCTGGGAATCAAAATTCAAATCGGATCATCAAAAGCTTTTCGAAAATGGAAAAGAAATCTTGGCCAATGTGAATTAATTTAGTCAAATGCACTTTAATTAAGAGAGATTAAGAGAAAGTTTTAGATTTTGATATCAATTCTGCAATTTTTCAATAAATCAAGAGTGATTAAATGATATTTAAGAATAAAAAAATGAGGGGTACGGTCGTGAAACAACTTTCTTCTTAGCAAAAAGGAAATCGATATTCAAATCTCACATTTCACCTCAATGCTTCATTTATGCAAGAAGGTATGAATTCAGAGTTTTCGATAGATTTTTCCTCTATTTAAGAAAGCAATTAGAGCTAAAATTGGTTTATGTTTAAAATAGCAATACAACAGATCTCAGATACCCTTTTTAGGTTCACTATAGAAACTTAAATAAAATCATTCAACCATGAAAAAAAAGAAAAAAAATAATAAATTTAAATAAAATCAATCAACGATGAAAAAATTAAACAAAACTTAGTAAAATAAAGAAAGTCAGTCAACCATTAGAAAAAATTAGAAAAATTAAAACAAATAAAACAGATCTAATAAAATTAAATAAAATTAGTCAACAATGAAAAAAAATTAACAAAAAATTAACAAAATTAAGGAAATGAACAAATCTAGAATCAAGCTAGCTAGCTATCTGGAAAGTAACAGATCATAGTCAAAAGTTTTATGCTCCTCGATCTGAAGACTTTCTAAGCTCATATTTTACACCAGACTTTAAACAGCTGTAAAATTGCCCTAAGACTTCATGAATGCAAAGGACACTGCCCACTTGTAAAGGATGCTAAGTAAAAACAAGATAGTTGTTGACAACTACAATTTATTACAATCAAAAGCATATATCCTTATCCATCAGTAGAGCTGTCAGTTTTTAACTTCAGTTCAACACTTTTTTGCTCATTATAGAGAAATCAATGCTCTGCTCAACAGTAACCTCAAGACTAATTGGCGTGGCATTTAGTTGCAATACACCGTTTTCTTACTAAATGACCTACAGAATACAAACATCAATTTTTCCCCGATACAAGTATATTATTTGCTAAGTATACAAAAGAAAGTTACATCTAAGTTAAAAAATGTTAGAATTAATTTAATCGTATGCTTTCTAGCCTTGTCAACATGAAATCCCCTTTTAAACTAAGCAAAACAGAAATTTTTTTCGAGGATATGCATTCTGCGAAATCGGAGCTGTTGGGCCGTCAGTAGCAGAGCTGTCGAACTGTACGAAAACCCCAGGATTTCACCTGCAATATCGCGCTGCTATATAATTCAAGAATTCAAGACTTCTGCAGCCTACGTTTGAGAAAGAGGCAGCATACCGTGTGTTCGAATCGATTCCTTAAGTAAACTTAGCGAGAATAAACGTTAACTTTCAAGTTACATCCTAGGCTTCTCTGTTACAAATCATCTTTAGAATAATCTCAAGTTTGACTGATGTAGATCAAGTGTAATCCTTGTAATTTTTCAAATCCACGGTTTGTCTTCAATTGTTTAGCAGCGCGACCTTGCAGGTGAAATCCTGGGGCCTCGTTCAGTTCCACAGCTCTATTATTGCCGGCCCAATAGCTCTGATTTCGTAGAATGCGTATCCTCGAAAAGATATTCTGTTTTGCTTAGTTTAAAAAGGGATTTCATGTTGACAAGAAAAGAGAGCATACGATTAAATGATTTCTAACATTTGTATGAAAGAGTCAACTGCTGTTTTAAACACATTCTGAATTTCTACCAGTTATGAAGAAAAACTAAGCTTTACCGTTCGCCAAATTGCCGCGCTGCTTTTAGTTTCAAAGACGTCGGCTTTTGTAATACATTTAAAGCGCCAAAAAATGCCGATATTCACATTTTAAAATTGAACCAGTATTAATTATACTTAAGCTGCTTTCATTTACAAGTAACATTTACCGAAAACAAAAATTCAAAGAAATAGTACCAAACAAATTGGTAAATAAAAGCAAAAATAATCGAGGCATAAATTAGCCAAGTTTCTTCCAGTGAAGTTCTTTATTTATTTAGGAAAGCCAAGTCTTTCTACTGATTTTTTGCTATAAAAGTTATACAGAGCATAGTTGATAAAAATTATTGTTTTGCAGAAGTTTTTCATGTAAACATTACATTAGCATTTAAATTGAAAGATGATTGAACTTAAAAATCATACATGGTTTGCGAAGCTTACATAGGGCAGAATTATTCAGAGCTGTATGATTTAATTGAAATTGCATCTTAGAGATGTTAGAAAGGGCGTGATTGTCATAGATAGCAAGATCATCGCAGAACAACTCATAGAATTGAACGGATCACCAACCTCAGGTCATGCGCACTGTCTTACATGAAGATTTGTATATAGCTCACCACGGTTCAACGGGTTGAGCGGGCAAAAGGTCAAAAATTGTGCGAAGATCACCTGGTGGTGAAATGTGAGCAACCAACTGATGCATGAAGATTTCCCACTGACATAGAATAAACCTTGTTCCACTAGCATTCATTGCCATCTTTCTACTGAGGACAGTCAAGGGTTGCACAACCAGGTAAGATTTCAATTTCACATTCTTGTGGCCTAGCAAGCCATTTCAGATGATACAGTTGCTTTATCTTGAATAAGTACTTCAGAAGTTACTTGTTGGCTCATATTGGGATTCTTTTCCTACTTTAACTCTTCCTATGCGTGGAAGTGGATTCAATTTTGAAGAAGATTTTATGCAGGGCCTAAATTCAAATAGAAAATTTCGACACATTAGATGGTTATATTCAAGCTAACAGAAGCAATCAAGTTGTGCGTATTGGCTTCTAAAATAACAATATTTTCAATCAATGGATGGAACTTGGAATTGACTGTTTATTTTTGATTCAGCCACACTGCATTTTACAAAGCTCTACAGATCCAAACCATTGGACGAAAAAAACGACTTCTTTGTAGAAATGTTCGATTGGAGATGGCAAAAAAAGTCAAAAGAACGTAAAAAGTCAAAAATCGGAAAATAATGCAAATACCATCTAATCTATTACCAAATTTAAGCATTTTAGGTTGATTTCAAAGACAGCTCAATAAAATATCATTGACTCGAATCATTAATATTTTCACCAACACCATATGCATCAGCCGTTGACTTTTTGTGCTTGCTTTATAGGCCCCGCGATTTTATAAATTTCAAAATGATGAGAATAGCTGTTTTCGTCGCCGTTCTTGGCGTTGCCCTCGCTGGCCTCCCAAGACATAAGGGTAAGTACAAATTAATCCATTTAAGTTCTATTTACCTTATAAAACCGTAAATGAAAATGTAAGCAATAACGGCACCACATGATACAAGATTGATGCGATTCAAGAAGGGTTTTGAGAAGAATGCTTGCCTGTATGATGGCTCTGGTAGCTAAAAATTATATTGAATTCTGAAATATAAATGGGCAGAAAATGGTTAGATTCTGAAGATTTAAATCCAGTCAATGGAAAACTCGTTGAAAAGGACGCTTGGAAATTTTCAAATTCTTCAAATATTTGCTGGTATTTTGATAGAGCAGAGAAAATTACACCTGCTAAACAGGTTAATCCCGTTATTCCCGATCAAAAGGGGTTACATTGAAACATTGATCTTTCATTGAAAGCCAAGAAAATCTATGTTGATGACTTGAAAAGTGTCTACCGCGCAACTCAAAGTTTGGGCTAGCCTTTTTATCGTATTGTTCACTTAATCAATATTCCATGTTGCCTTGTATCGCAAAGCATTAGTTAGACCTTCTCGTTTATTTCATTAATCACTTGACCTGCATCTCTTTGAATACTTCAACGTTTGAAGACCTAACAGCTTATACAGGGCTGAAAAGACTTTAATAATAAAATTAAAAAAATTAAAATGGCAATAAAATTTAAATGCTTTTTGTTTGCTCAAGGCTAAATTTGTTCTTTTTCAGATAAGAGATCACCACAAGCTTGTGGAGCTGCCTGTCCAGCCACTTGTGCACCAGCATGCATGCCAATCTGTTGTGCTCCACCACCCCCACCACCACCACCACCACCACCAGGCCCACCAGGACCACCAGGACCAAACGGACCCCCAGGACCATCAGGACCTAATGGACCACCAGGACCAGGAGGACCTCCAGGAGGACCAGGACCCGCTGGACCACCCGGACCCCCAGGAGCCCCAGCTGGACCAGCAGGACCTGCTGGAAACCCAGGACCACTTGGACCCCCAGGAGGACCAGGACCACAAGGACCACCCGGACCTCCAGGACCACCAGGACCACCTGGACGACCAGGACCCCCAGCTCCACCACCACCACCACCACCATGCCCAGCGGTCTGTGTCGCACAGTGTGTGCCATCATGCCCACCACCATGCTGTCCTCAGAAGCACTAAGTTCGTTCCTATTTGGAACTCCCTTTTAGAAGGAACATTTAATCGATTTTCTTGAAAATATTGTTAAGGAATGTGGTAAAACGAATGGAAATAGTTTTGCTAACTATCCAGGATACATACATCAATGCAAATTAAAGTTGGAGGAATTACTGAATTTTATATAAATTTCTACACGTGTTTAAACGGTAGTTTTTATCGAAAGTCATTTCTATCAATTGTCATCCTTTTTCATAAACAAGCGATATCAATAATAACTGCTATAGAAATTGAAAATACGAAGAAGTAAAATAAAAAAAAGGTGTGGGAGGCACTGAATTTCCCTTCAGCTTATTAAAGCAAAAATAACGTAAGGTTAACAAAATGTTGTCATTAACCAACTTTGTTTCGCACTTAAGCTCGCTAACACATTTTGTTAAGTTAGCCTCGATTACAAAAAAAAGATGTGTGGGGGGGGGGGCATATACATAAGCCTGTGAAAAAGTAACGCTTAGCTCCTCGGCATGGAAAAATCCTGAAAATTTCAAGCAATAAAGTCCTATTGTGTGATAAAACGAATAAACTAGGCAATAAATAAACACGTATATTTATAAATACGTATAAATATCTAAATAAATAGCATATTTGTGATGTGAATCATAAAAAAGAACCACACGACAAAACATTCTCTAAAAAAGCGTCAGCTCAGGAAAGTTCCTGGAAAAATGCACGCTTTTGGTCCAAGGGCACGCTCTTAAAGAAACTGATTGATATGTGCCCTAAAGAAGATGTTTGCTTTAAATATTGTCAACAAATTAAGACGATACAGATAATGAAGATCCGACCTCTTCTGAAGTAGAGGCATTTACAGTAAATTCTGACTTAGTTGGCACTTCCATGAAAGTCAAGTTGAAAGATATAAATCAAATAGCTACACAAGAGAGTGGAGATTAACCCTCTCTTACCCACTCGCTCAACCCTAAACATCAATTTGTTCATTGCATTACTATCCGCCACTGTTTCAAAGGGCAAGCATGACTCTGAAGAATGAACTGCATTTCAGACTATTTAGGTCTCAGCCTTCTTCGCTTTGAATACGATTTCACGAGCAGCGCAAAGTTACGGTTACCTTACTGATAAAAAGCATGTTTTTTAATTATCTGTATACATCTGTATAAAACGAAGACCAAACCAGCTCTATTGGGGTCTATAATCCACTGTTGATTAGGATAACTTTCAAGATCAACACTTCACGTTAGAATTTACATTGCCTTTGAAAACCAAGGCCTATACGTTACAAAATTTGGATTTGTCGTGAATGAATTCGAGACAAATTCAAAAGGGGTTCATCATTTGTTGTGAAGTAAACAAACTTCAGATTTTAAATTAAGTCTAATAGCATCGCTAGGCTTCATTTCTTGCAAATAAAACATATGCAGGCTCCATTGATAGAATGCACGAATAACAAAGGTTTATCAAACCGCCTTGAAAAACTGCTCAGACCAGAGACCTTGTAGACAATTACTTCTCATGTCTGTTATAATGACTTCTAAACTTTCAAGTTATTGATTTTTTTTAAGAAATAAATAATCTTAAAAAGTTCAAGCAATCTTTTAGAGCAAATTTGTAGCGGAAAGCAACTAGCATAGATGAACTAACATCTTCAAAGACACCTGGCGTAGCCGAATAATTTTACTTCGCAACGTGTGGGTTGAAATGGCTCGGTCCACATGCAAGGTCTTTGTTTATAAGAATAGTCTGTATCCAGCCTTTTATAAACTGGAACATTGCCACGATCATTAACGTGAACGTTATAATATCGCTAAGATCTTTCCTCTTAGCGACTGCCGTTAAATTTAGCGCTGTACTTTTTACGCTTATACTCGTAAATCGGTGCTCTTGGACACGAAAAGTCATTTCAGTACACCTCAAATTTTCGTAACAAATTCTCCTTGAATGCTCTTTCTCAGAATATAGCAAACAAATATTTCCAGGAGAAGAACTTCCAAAATTTAGATCATTTTCGTCAATCACTGAGTTGAAGAAAATACTTTATAATTTTATAAATCTATAGTTAGAGAAGATAAACATCTTAAAACGAAACGTAAAAGGGAAACAGACGTTGCTTGAAGAAATTTAGAAAGATAGCTACTTAGTTGTATTCAGGAAAAAACCTCGAAAGAACTCCAGGTAATTTCAAATAAAGCTTAAAGTATACGTAAAAGACGTATAAATTTGCCGGGGTAAGCACAAATGTTTTCATAAAGACAGTTCTATATAATTGGCAAAGTATAAATGATACGATCACACTACTAAAACGGAAAGTATCGAAAAGTTCCTTTTGAAAGAGAATTTCGACTGCCGAAAAGCTGCCATGGATGTCTCACCCCCTTGTTAAAGATTTCAATAATTTCTATTGTTTCTACTATTCATTGCAAGGTCATTTTGCATAAAAAGTACAATTTTTTCACTGAAACTACAACCCTTAGAAAACATTTTATCTTCAAATTACAATCTAATCATGCAACTTCATACTAAGATCCAGGGCCCAGTTGCCACTTGGATCCAGGGCCTATGGATCACAAATACGAACAAAACTTGTTTGACTACAAAAACAATAATTAATCTGCGTTACGTATGCAACAACTGAATAAATTATGAGATAAAATATGTCGCAAGACGTAATGACCTCACATGTATTTATAAGCAGAGGTAGCTGCGCTCATTGTAGCCGATAACTTTGCTGTGAGTTGAATGCTCTTTTGATTCCATGACCACGCACCTGTAAGTAAACCTGCTCGAGGTGCCATTTTGCCAGTGAAGCGTGGTAATCATCGTTGATCGCAGCTGCATCACCTGTGCGTAGCTCATGGCTAACTCACCAGGAGTAAGTGATCTGACACGGCATTTTTCATCAAACATTTTACCAGCATACCCAGTAAAGACGGGACGAGTCTGCCTTTTTCAATCGGGAGAAAGGGTATGTATATGGAATATTTTATTGGCTTTTAATGCCAGGACACTTTTAAGCGTGTCGTTTACTTGGAAACATTTGCGACTGTGAAGAAAGTCATTTTTGTATACATATGTCAAATTCACAGACAAAACACATAGCGTTTATTGTGAAAGTAATCATGAAAGGCTAGGCCTACTTTATGCTAAGGAAAGGTATAAAATTCAATCATAGCATCAATAATTTTGAGAGACTTAGTGTTTTAATATAGATATCGATATACTTTAAATAAAGATGATTTCAATTTTAAAATTTTAAATTGAATTTTAGGGATACAACCAACAATGAGAAAGGTTAGGGTTATGCTCTGCCTGTTGGCAGTTATTCTTTACGTCGAAGCAAGATCTACGCACAAGGGTAAGTAATATTGTTGACTTAATTTGAGTTTTGCTTCATCGTGAAATAAGAAACCACTGTTTAGAATAAATTAAAACATTCTGACATGGTTGCATAACTAAAATTTTTTTTCAATTTTCCAAACTGGCAAAATTTTAGCAAATACAATCCTGGCATGATTTAAATGAATTTTTTTCCAAATATGAGATCTTTTCATGAAATAAAAGTTTTCTTTCAATATTGAATAAAATATGATGTCTTGGTAATTCCATAGATTTATTAGGAAAAGGTAATTTCATAAACTAGGAGTTGAACCTCGCTTGACAGATTGTCTTACGCCATGAATGAAAATATTGTATAAATCAAATTACCATTTAAAATTGTCATTGAATTTAAAGTTTTTAGTTTACAAAGACAATTAGTTTACAAGATACAACTTTTGGTGTCTGTTACTGGATTTATCTTAACGGAGATGTCTAAAAGACACAAGGACCGTTCGAACGGGCATAAAAAACAGCTTGATAACTCAAAGACTTCTTTTACAAAGATATTTTCCCATGAAATTCATGCACAGCCAACGGGATTAGGTACATGTATAAAAGTAAGGCAGTTGTTTTTGTGCATAAACTACTGGTGGACGACTATAGCTGGTTGGAATAACCGATGACCTTGAGCGCTGGTGAAACATGCTTTAGCGGAGGGTGGTGCCTCATTAGAACCAAATACACTTTCTAAGCATAGCATTGGTTTACGTGGATGATCCTGCTTTAAAGAGAATTAGCCCACAGTAAAATGGGACTGGCATGCCCCCAATCGACCAATAATGACATAATTTTCAGCATGTACAAAGGCCATGAATCTGACTGGTATCCAAAATTATCATTCAGGTTTATCAAGATAAAACTATTTCCTTGGCGAGATAGTTTCAGAGCATTAATAGCAAAAGTAACAAGTTAACAAACAGCCCAAATTTCACAACGGTTGTATCTGTTATTGTGTTTGCGTTAGCATACCAAACAAATACCAAAGTTGATTAGTCTGATTGCTGCTCCTATTGTCAGCGGTAGATAACTGAACATAGGCACTGCTATGTAGCGGATCATAAAATTTCTGGATTCAGTATATAAATGTTTCTCCCTTTTTTTGCCTCACAAAAAAAGAGGTTCAATAAACTAATTGATTGACAATATGGCTGTGCAAAGATGCCTCAAGAAGGCTCAACTAAAAGTAGGTTTAAGAAACAATAAGGAACAACCCTTTTCTAATTGTTTCTATTCTCTCTCAAGGAAAACATCAGAAACGTCAGGCCGGCTGTGGAACAACCTGCCCAGTAGCCTGTGCACCAGCTTGTCTCCCATCTTGCTGTGCAGCACCACCACCTCCTCCACCAGGACCTCAAGGACCTCAAGGAGCAAGAGGAAATCCAGGACCCGCAGGACTTAACGGACCACCCGGTCTTCCTGGCCCACCAGGTCTCCCAGGTCCACCAGGCCCACCCGGACCACCAGGAATCCAACAGCCACCTCCAGCACCATGTCAAGCAGTATGCTTTCAACAATGTTTCCCTACTTGCCCAAGTTATTGTTGCCCACAGGCCCCACCTCCACCACCATGTCCCCCAGTTTGCGCTTCAACCTGTGCCCCAGTTTGCCCACCAGCATGTTGTAAGAAGAAGAGAAGTTCAATTCACCACCACAAAGCCGAGAAGCCAATAGTCATCATTGAACGAAAGGAATAAACTTGACCTACCCAGCGATTTTAAAAGGACTATTTTGTAAAATACAAAGGGATAATGAAATTGCTAGAGAGGAGAAGCTCAAGCTGACAGTCCCTCAACGTATAACAACAACGTTAGCAAATGAAACAACAAACGTTTGGACGAAAGTACAAACAAAATTTATTTATACTGTTTATTTTATGTAGTAAACTTTGTATGGCTATGCGTTGATGTAGAAATCAAGACTAGGCACCAAAACTTCTAAACCAAAGAAATACATTTATTGATTTTCTTAATTTGTAGACGTGCCGTACTAAAGACATTGTTCATGTCTGAGAACAAAACTTGACTTCTACAACAACTAGATTAATTAATCAGATGAACATAGGAACTATGCAATTTATCGCTTCTTGAAAAATAACACAATCTTTCATCGTTTTGTTTAAATAATTAACACGCTCCATTTGACAAAGAGTGTTATGTACTCGCTTCAAATTTTACTGGAAAGAATGATAAAAAGCCTCATTTTCTGACATTTCAATTCTACAATTCTTGACTTCAAACTTGATTTATTAAACCATCCCCTAAATGTAACTTCGGAACTGCCTTTTGACGGGGAAAAGATCAGAAGTATAATAGTAAGAAAATGCAAAGCTTTGAATTATCTAAATGTCATGAAGCACAATATAATTTGGCTTGACTTCCTTTTATCTATGTAAAGGCCTTCTCGAAGTCACTCTCGTTTGCCTAGAATAGTTGAAAGAATCTACAATATAATATTTTGGAGAAAAAACGAGATCCATAAAGCACAACTAGGCAAAAACAAAGTCAATTAGCAGGAAGGAGTTGCGTAGGAGACCTGCATCTCAACCATTGACAAAAATGACTTCGGGCGTAATGGAAGCAAGGATTTCGCTTTCTTTGTTTGAAAGTGTGAATATATACAAAGTATCAATATTGGCACAAGATCATATCTTCCATGCCATAAAGGTTCGACAAAGTTTATTCTAAAGGATGAAGGCTCTGCCTCTTTTTTCTTCAGACGACCCATTACCTAAAGATGGCAACTGGTTGCTGAACAAAAATTTTGGCGACTTATTTTGCAGAACTTCTATGGAGAACGAGTAGCGTTGTCGTCTATGCGATCTCTGTAAAGAAGCCATTTTAAGTTGGGCGCAGACTATTTGTTGAGGCTGGTTAGTATAACCAGAGGGGATCAAAAGTAAGCTTTACAAATAGCAATAACTTCTTAGGTGATGTTTAATCCAAAAAGTGATGGTTTTTGAAAGGCGGGGCAACCGAGGAAAGCTGTTCTGCTGCAAACGTCGAGAGGAGAGATGCATCCTATCCACGCTGAAGCAAACAATCTAAACCGGCATTTATTCGTGCATTTTCGTCCGTCTCCTCGAATACTTGCATGGCTTCATATGCAGATTTAGCGGTGTTAGAAAAGTAAGCTTTTCCACTTCAGCAAACAAATCAACACTAGTCCGCTAAAGTGAAAACTAATTCTAAATGCAAAAATTCTAGATTGCTACCTAAAGGTTGACAAAAAAGAAACGTCACTCTCAATGACTGCACAACGTTTCGAAACGACGAGAGGAATTTTTGAAAATGGCTTTGAAAAAAGAAAACAATTATGCAGCATACTCAAAGGTTTTCCGTCTGACACTCCTCAGAGTATAAAACGTTAATTAAGGTTCCGAATGAACAGGATAGAAAATAAATATATCCAGTTGTGGACCGAAATTGGCCAATCAGAAATGTCAGACGAAAAAGCTTCAAATATGTTGTAAAATGTTTGTTTTTCAAGGCCATTTTAAAATTTTGTACCGCCAAGAAAGATCAATTTTTGTGAAACACCGTAAAACTGTTTTTCGTTAATCAATCTCTTTGAGATTTTCGAAAAAGTTACGTATCAAATAGAGCAGCTAGAACAAGTTCGATAAGGTTTTTCTCGAAATATCATCTTCAATTCATTATTCGTGAGCATTTTAGCGTAGAATATAGATCCATGGCTTACATGACTTCTTGAGAAAATAATGTTACAAAATGCAGCTTTAACGCTCACATACACAATGTTTGCCAAGAACTTTAAAACAGTGAACTAGTTTTTTGCAAATAAAAATATCCCTCTCCTCTTAAATAAATGGCATTTAATCAAAAAAAATCTAAAGCAATTTCAGTTTAAAATTGTCCACATAAAGAGTGATGTTTTATACCCAAAAGAGTCATTTTCAGAGCTATAAAGATGCCAGATAGATTCCATTTAGGAGCTTTTGATTGGAAACTGTGCAGTCAATACTGTTTTGAGGAAAGATGTAGTTTGGTCTCTGTTACTTTTGCAGGAATCTGTTACTTCTAAAAAATATCATAAATGCAACAAAGCATTCCAGGGCTTATTGGGAAAGATCTGTAGTTTTAAAACCAAGTCAAAAGCGACTTGCATTGAGTGAGCTTCCTTACAGAGTGCATTTTACACCCTACAAAATAAGCTTTCTATATAAACAAAATATTATTGATGAAAAGAGGCCAGTTGATCAGACATAATTTTAGAGTTGATCAACTGGCCAGTTGGCCAGTTGATCAGACTTAAAGAAGACATAATTTTACTAGCCTGGCTGTTCACTCTTAATAGTATCAAAATACCCTGATGCGCTAGCGATTCAATATTGTGAAGCTTTTGCGAGGAAGATTATAATTCAATTAAACGATAAGCTAGATGTCCTTACACCAGACCTGTATGCTATTCTGGCAATGACATTAGCGCTTTCATGAATACGACCTGTTGAGATCAAGAGAGATTTGAGACTAAAGGGCACATTGCGGTGTAAACATAGGGCCGAGCGAAATCTTCGCTAAAATTTTTGTGATAATTATTAACAAAACGTCATTGTTTGTTTGAAACACTGCGGTTACTGCAAGTTCAACGTTAAACAGGTTAGTAACCTTCATCTTTTTATAAAGCAAATTCTAATTTAGGCCGTAATTTGCGAAAAGATTGGTTTAGATTATCAGTATTGTTAACAAGATGGATCTGTAAGGAAAATCAAAATGAGGTACTAGCTGACGGCAAAATCTAATAGATAAACACAAACAAAGTTTGTACACTCAAACGTTAAATAGATTATTAAAACAAAGTTAATTAGAATTGTTAAAACAAGTGGCAATCGGCCTCAAAATGTGTTTGTTAAAGAAAGTTGTATGTTTAGTAGATTTGCTTATCTCAAGCGAGAATGGAGTTGATAAAACTGTGGCGATTAACCTATGATTTCATCTAGCAAATTTTCATTTTGCTTTATTTTTCTGGCAAAAAGGTTGTTCAAAATGGCTGCTAGGGATAAATCAGCAACTATTTTCGCAGATAAGAGCTTTTTAAACGGAGGTGGGAGGGTAAGAAAAAGTTTTTAAACGCAATGCTGCAAAGATATTTCAAATAATAACGGCCGAGCTATATTTAGATAGCGACGTAAATGTTGAAATTTAATGATAAGAAAATTAGGGCATCTAAATTGCAAAAAAAACATTGCGTTTCAGACTTTGCCATGGCGATAAGATCAATACAATAGATGAGATTAATTAGATGCTCAATAGAAATCTTTATTTTTCGCGCAAGAAAGCCTCAAATTGTCCTTGACAAAGTTATAATTAATGGATAAATCAAGAAAAGGGCCCAAAGATGAGTTACGCTGATAGTAGCGAAAAGAAGAGTTATTTTCAAAAAAAGTTGCAACAATTATTTTCAAAAACAGAAATTCAAAGTTAAATGCATTCATGACATTGATTACATTACAGTATTGGGGTAATCTAAAGAAATGAAGTTCCAAATAAAAAAACAAGAAATATGAATCATATGAGACAATCGAATTGTTTTCAGATCAAAAATGAAAATAATATTTTTATCCATTCTAGCTAAGATGCGAATATTAACAGCAGTATTGCTAATATCAATAGTCTCATTATCAGCAGCTGATGATGGTGAGTGTTTGAATGCAGTAAATATTAATTTTACTAAATATCAATGTTTACTAATGATCAAAGTTGCTAAACATCAATGTAACTTAGTATTTTTATCTGTATTATTATTATTTGTCACCAATATTTTACTTAATAACCAATTTTACTTACTATCAATGTTTGTGGATACCAATGTTTTTTCAATTCCAGTTAAGCGTGCTTCTTTTAGATTAGAATCAATATGATAAAAGTAAAGACACGCCCAATATGATTATTAAAGAATCAATGTTAACAATAAATGATTTGTAAATATCAGCTGAGGAAAAGATCGATATTATTCTAATATTTTTTTTCTTACATATCATCGTAGCAAATGAGTCCTGCTTTAACTGTTATTCCTTTTCGTGTATGAACCTTTTCACGATAGATTATATCCGTTGCTTGAAACTGCGGTAGATCAAATTCTACGTCACAGAAAGAATAAACCAGATTTGATGGTTTCGTTGATCCCGAAGTATAGATTTTATAAAAATCAATTATATACCATATTTCGTAGGGGAATCGATAAAAGCTGCTGGTAATACCATCCAAAAACTATTAAACGAAAGAATCGGTAAGCAACTCAATCTCCTTTTTAATATTTTAATTGAAACTGTCATTACAGAATTGGTCATGCCAAAACTTCACTTGGATTACAATATTATTTTGGAAAATTTACGGAGACCATTTTTGTGACACAACAGTTTAATTGCATTATGTGACTTTTTCGTGGGATTATTTAAATTCCTTGATGTTGGATACAAGAAACAATGAAAAAATAATTAATCAGAAACTTAATTCATTATTTTGTAGTAACTTAAACATTCTTTCTAGAGAATATTTTGAAATAAAAAACTCCTAATCTGCAATTTAACTGTCATTTGAAATATTTTCAGGAAAAAAAATCGTTGAGGCAGCAAAGGAAGTGAAAGGAATTTTGTCAAAATCTCTAGGTAACAGGGTATTCAATGTTTGATAAAATTCAAAATATGAAGAATATTATAAATGGTTTTATCACTAAATGCTTAAATTTTTTTTTAATTTTAAAGCGTTAAAATTTCACTTCACTTTCACACAGTCTTTCTGACTCTCACATAAAAATATTTTTACACGATAATCGACCACTAATATTTACAAAAAGTATCGAGATCATATGGTCATGATGAGTTGGAATGATTCTTAGGTGCAAGATAAGGAGAAGTTGCAACTCTGTGCATTCTTACACAGGCAGTTCTGTCAAAAAGTTATTGATGAATGTTGCATGTTGTATGAGAACTGTAAGCATGGCTGGCAGATTAAGGAGACTTACAATACAGTGCATTGATTGTCACAATTTGGTGTTTTTCGCTTTTTTGCTACACAAAGCCAACTGAATCGAACAAATAACTGTCAGACCTTCCACGTGAAATTACACATTTTTATTTTGACTTCCATAGAGTTTAAACAAAAAACTATTTTGAATTAGCAGACTTGAGCTCACAATCGTCATTTGGTCGTACAGTGATAAAACTTTAAATATGTCAATTTGTTATTTAGGTACTCATGTCAAGAGTGCAACGGCAAAACTCATTCTCGACAGTGCTGTCGACAAGCTTGAAAACCAAGGTACACTTTCCTTACATTTCCTATTCTTTGTTTTTAAGGGCTCTGTAAGCTTTAATTATGAGTAAAATGAAATAATACGTTACCTAGGAATCAATGTTTTTAGCTGTTCGTGCAGACTAAAACAACATATTTTTCCGTAACACTCGATTACGGCAAGACTGTAAAAAATTATATGTCGTAATCATATTGTGAATACTATTTAAGCGACAGATCTAACTGCGTAAAATGACGTCATCGAGCATCCTGATATAAGGACATCAGCTTGGGTACATAAGCTTTTTAAAGTGATACATGAAGAGTTTATGCTAAAAGAGGAAAAAAACAAGAGTTTGATCTAGGGATACGTTGCTGGGAGCTAGGGGAGTTCGAAGTCACAAATTCTCACGCATGCGCATTTTCTCTGCGCAAATTCTCTTTCATTTTCCGCATTATCTTAACACTGAATCCTATACAGTTTCAGGGACCCAAAATGATGGAGTTGCAACGGTAGGCACTGATCAGACGTCGGACGATTGCGTCAAGGACTGCAAACTCAAAAAGCTGGCTAAACAAGGTTCAGCATCAAAGCCTCATATCCATCACGTGAAGTCAATGCATAAAGGTGCACCAAGCCACAATACACCCCATAACAAGGGTCCTAGAAATAGGAAAAATATGCCGGGACAAGATTTGCCACAGACACCACCACAGGGTAATGTCTAGCTTCATATGCTGACTTCTCTATTCATTGTCAATCATCTATGTAAATTATATTAATGGCAATGTTTAACTTCGGCGATGCTGCTTCTGACGTTTATTGTAACTTTGCAATTTATTGAAGCGAAACTGCAACCCTCATGCAGTTTGCATTGTAATATCACTTAAATATGACTTTTCGAGATGACTTTTCAACTTTAAGTGTAGTTAATTTCCAAGTGTCTTGCGGCTATTCCGAGAAGGCTACAAACAGTCAACAATATCCATAACTATTCTAACCATGCCGTTAACGAAGGAAACTTTTGCTACTAAACTTACACATCCAAGGGTTTTCCTACATTTAAACGGTACAAGGTACTAACAAAGTAAAAATGAAGTATCCTTTAATGTTTCAAAATGGTCTGAGTTGACAAAAATTATAGGCTGTGTCTATCTGACCCCGTGTTTCATGTTGCTCTGCAGGTATCAACCAACAACCTCAAGCACCACAGAACCCCTCGATGCCCCCAACAATGCCCCAGCAACCACCAAGCCAGCCTGCCTGCCAACCGCCATGTCCAGTTGCATGTGCCCCAGCATGCACACAAGACTGCTGTCGACCAATGCTCAGTCTGATGCAACTCCCAGCACCGCCGCCACCGCCACCTCCATACTACGCACCAATGGCGATGTGCGCTCCTCCATGCACCCAGCCTAGTTGTGCACCTGCATGCCCCGCAGCATGTTGCTCAGCACCACCACCACCACCACCTCCTCCACCACCGCCACCAGCTTGCCCTCCAATCTGCGTACAACATTGCTACACAATATGCCCAAGAGGCTGCTGTCGCTCGGAAATTGGCCACAAGAAGCACCGCATAAGCCACAAGAAGAGGCATCACCAGAAAGATAGGGAAGAATCAGAAAGTGAGGGAAGCGATGAAATGGAAAGCAGCTCGATAATATCAGAAAGGAAGTCTGGAAACACTGAAAACAATCCTATGCAGAGGAACAAAATACCAAAGAAGAGGGTTACCACCTACAATGGGGCCCATTAGAAGATGAACTTTTCATGTGAGCTCAAGGTATTTCTATAACAGCAGTCCTTGAGACGTTACCACTGACCTAAATAAGTAAGCAATTTGGTAATTGCTTTGAGAACCTTTTTAAACACAACACAAATTGTTTTTATAACCATCTTTTATCAGCTGGAAGCCCACTTAACAATGTATTCTTCATAGAATATTCTGGAAGCATTATAGATAGCTCTATTCTGTATGCAAAAGATGCAGTTTTGTCCTATGAAGGCGAATCTAGCACGTTTATAACATGATGTGAATCATGTAATATTTCACTAGTTTTTATATCTCAAATATGTTATTATGTAAAAAGATGAAAATTTGTACTAAACAAAATAAAGAATGTAGCCAAGGTCTAAAGCTACTGTATTTCGTGATAATATCAAGGAAATTACATCTTTGAATTTCTGTCTCTCTGCAGTATCCAAATACTAAGATGCATCAAATGTAGTACTGTTAAGTACAAAGAATACAGGGAAATAAATTACACTCAAAGGAATTGTATTGTATCAAACAATGCAACGAGAAAAGAGAAAAGGAAAGTGATCAAGGAATTAGCTATGAAAATTTGAGAGTCATGGGCATTCGACAAAGCCTTTAGGAATAAATTACCAGTAGTATTAGTTCTTAATAAAATAAGATTTACAATGAAACAATATCTACATGTGAACTTGAATTGCGATTTGAAAAATAGAACAAAAAAACTATTTGGAGAAAATTTTGGTATCTAACTTCTTATTATATAGAAGGGGGGAGCAAGAATACTGAGTATGACAAAATGAAAACATTTATGCAATACGTGAATTCTTCCTCTCATACCGATGTCCTTTGTGTCATGAGAAGAAGAGTATTTAATTTCAAACTTTATTCTATTCAGTAAATTGTGTATTTCTTTAAAACAATGACAGCATAAGCAACTGATAGCAAAGTTCAAAAGTTTTTCAGGTATTACAACGTCTTATCAGATTTTTCAAATAGGCAGGTATAACAACAAAACAAGACTTTCTATCTCTAGGGTACTAGCCAGTAGAATATCAAATGACTTAGACCTAAGGATAAGATTTCATTGCAGTCACTAATTCTTCAAACATTAGCCGTATATTTTACCCTCTCTTGAACGGGTCTCTAAGACCTGCTGTGAAGGACTTAAGTGAAAATGTGAACATAGTTTTACGCTCGAGCAATTTATGATTGCGAATTGCAGGTGGAAAATTATTGCTTACCTAACCGTAGCTATTCTAAAATTGAGACAACCTATCAATAAAGGGCGATACCAAATACAAAATAGGCCGTTATTTTAATTGGTAGGCGTTTACTTGAATTCTGTAACAAACAATTCATTTTGATTGGAAACTACTGTCTGAAAACCCCAGACACTGGGGGCAAACGTCATCATGTCAAAGACTATTATTTTGTTTGGATTACTTCTCGTGGCGGCCATATTTGATAGCGTAGTTGAATGTAGAAGAAGACATAACAGAAAAGGTAAGTCAAAATAAACTCTTTAGGTGCATTACTATCTTAATTTAAAGGTTGCAAAGGAATACAAACTAATGCCTTCAACTTGTTAATTTACAGGAACTCTAAACAGGGACAACATTATTTCTACGGGGTTTTTTATAATACTAGACATGCAGATTGAAATATACCAATTTGTTTCGTATCGATAAAACGATATTGCTTCCTACTCGCAAAATAAAAATAGCCCATTGAAAATTTATAGTTGCAGAAAGGGAGTCGCAATTGAAATATTTAAGGGAGATTTTTTAATTGGTAGATTGTTTAACTGGAAGTTTTTAAGGCAGTTAGCAGTTTTCTGCCTTATTCTTTCAGTTAGAGATCGTGTTTCTATGTTGTCGTACTCTGATTGTAGCAGGAGGATAGGCTTTAAAGCATCAATTAGGATATTACTCGCATCAATCTCACTGATCACAACTAAGAAAGTAAGCTAATTGTTAGAATAAATGCTATCACGTTTTTCCGCCGTAGCTAAAAAGGAGGTTATACACTCAAATGAAAGAGAAGCAAGACAAAGCAAATTTCATCTTATGCTACGAAAGAAGCTAGTGCAAGAGAGACGAGAAAATGCAGAGAAGAAGAAAGCAGCGGACCAGGGAAGCGAGCCAGACAACCGCATCACCCAGAATGCGCTCCCGGAAGAGACGCCAATAGTTGCTAGTCCACCGGTGTACCAGGACATTTACTCACGTATGCCAATGCTGCCAATGCTGCCATTGCCTCTATTTTACAATGGTGCTGATGATGCATCTGGGCAACAGGAAATAGCAAGCCAGGTTGCTGAGTTCGAGGATGAGGCCAAGCAAGAGGGATTTTACCCCGAAGAGGAGCAAGATGAGCAAGAAGATGCTGGCAATAAACAATTTGAGGACGAAGGTAGTCAGGAAAATGTAGACAGTGGAAGTGGAACAGAGGCGGAAGACATTTACGATGATGCAAAGGGCATTGAAGAGGAGGAGAATCAGAAAAATGGTTTCTATGGCGGTTCTGAAGCAGCAAATCGAGATGATATGGCCGCTGGTGCCGGAACAGATCAAAATACGGAGGCACAAAAGGGTGGCACACAGGAAGCGGCAGCGGGACAAGCGGCAGGAGGACAAGCGGCAGCGGGTCAAGCGGCAGCGGGAAAAGGGGCTGGACAACAGCAGCAACAAGGACAGCAACCAGCTGCCGAAGATAACAAAGGTAACACATAACGTTATACTTAGAGGATAGTTTTCGTAAAATTGTAAAGCAATTAGTATAAGAAGTTGGTTTCTTCTGTCGCATTATACGTGAGAGGATCATATTGTTCCTATTGGTGCTTAAAGCAACGACTTTTAAAACGAAAAAAAACTTAACTAAGGAAAAACAACAAATTACTTGAAGGAATTGAGTAAACTGTTTGTTTAACTTTTCAATCGAAACGATATTCTGCTACTTTTTTAGAAAAACCAACAATTAAACCGGCAAGCAAACCTTTGCAAAAGGCTCCTGCCAAGGCTGCTGCAGCAGGAAGCATGACCCAAGCATCAGCACAGCAACAGGGATACATGGCACACCAAAATATGGCTCAAAATCCGCTCTCACAAAATCCAAGCGGGTTGGCACAGCATCCTCAAGCTCAAGGACAAAGCCCTACGATGGCCCAGCAGTTTACGACAACTCAACAACAGACAATACCGCCAGGATACCATTATCCTATCGTGGCGCAGCAACAACAGCAAATGCAGGCGATGCAAATGCCACAATATGGAATGCTGATGCCAGGACAGGTACCATGCCAATTTCCAAGCCAATGTTCTCAAACGATGGGAATGCCTGCACCAGGCCAGCCCGATCCGCCACCTGGTTTCATGAAAGTTGTTACTGGCTACCAGGTGGTGCAACCATCAGCAATGGTTCCTCAACCAGCATATGTGCCGCCTCCACCACCGCCACCTCCACCACCGCCTCCTCCACCGCCACCTCTTCCACCTCCACCTCCTCCACCACCACCTCCTCCACCCATTGCACCACCCCCACCACCCCCTGTCCCTGTATATGCGCAACAGTATCAGGTACCATACCAACCACCAATGCAATATCAAATGCCACTATACCAACAAATTGGCTGCGCCCCATCATGCGCCACTCGATGTACCACGATGTGCCCATCTCATTGTTGTGGCATAATGAAAAGAGACAATGTTTTGAGGTGGTGGAATATGTACCAACGAACGAAATTAAGGGGTCGAAAGAAGTAGATCAAGTCAAATGTTGAAAAAATTTCGAGAATATCGAGGGAACTAGTTCTTTATGGCCGTAACGAAGTACATCTGTAACTGAGAACGGACAAAAAATAAAGAGAACTTCAAGACAAGAAAATTTTCTCCTTAATGCAATTTAACACCATAATGTATCATAATACTGGGAATAAATGCCCCTAAAAATGGCGTAAAATATTGATATGCTTTAAGTACGTCAGACTAAAAGGCAAGCCACACAAGAATGATGTCGCAAACGTCAATATTAAGCATATAAGCATATGCAATCGAAAGTAGAATGGTCTAATGTCAATGAAAGCCTCGCGTATTCATTCATACAATGTTTAAGAAACTGAAAAAGAGAGCAGAGGTTCGTATCACTCTTTTAGGATTAGAACATCATTTGTTGAAAAAAAGTCCCTATGCATCGCGAAAATTTCTCAAGGAGAGAAGTTTTCCCTATTACACGTCCAGTGGAAAATTTTGTTAATACAATTAGTTATTTCTCACTCTATGCTTCGTAACAGTGTTCTGTTACCCGAAAGTTAGCTATAGAATTGCCTTGACCCATGCCATCTAATTTTACAGGCATGGGTCAAGGCACAACTTTTAGTTTGCATAAAAAATAGCTCAGACTCAGTACTCGCGGTAGATTTGTTACGCTTTCTTAGTGCTAACAGGAGGATGGTCTTTTTATAAATTAAAAATAGCAAGAGGCATTTATAAATTTTTTTGCAAACGATAAGGAGCATAAGAAGATCAGGAAGCACTGCAAAGAATAATTTTGTGAAGTAATTTCAACTCAATGTGTATAATAAATAGTTAGCAAATAAGTAGTTAGTAAATAACTAGTAGAATTGGGAGCTTGTTCGTATTTTGTTTTTGATTACTTTAGACTAACAAAAACTTTGATGTTAATAGAATAATTTCATATCGGAAAATGCTGACTTTTTTTAGTGGGTGTTTATGATCAACCTTTAAAGAAACGCGGTATCCTAATACATATTGGCCTAGTACATATAATACTTAAAAGTAAAGTTACTTTTACCGATCTGTCATGAAGTGCTTGATTTCGTATAGGCAGAGCTGTACGCTTATTCTACACACAGACTTACATAATAGTCAAATCAAAAAGTGAGCTACAGGTTATCATTTCATACAAGATCGAAAACAAGTTATTGATCTTAAGAAATGTTTTGAATGCGCAAATTTTATACCCACACAACTATTTCAGCAAGTCAAACAAAAAAGGTAACGCATCAACCAATTAACGGCCTCGTTTTGAAAAATATTTCAATTTTCTTTCTACTAAATTTTGAAAAAACCTTTGGATTACGGAGCAGAACATTAGCCTAACGTGTATGTCATTTCATGCAAGTTATATTGTCATTATATTGATTTTATGACGGCAAAAGCTTAACAATTGTATAAGGGATTCTATAAACGTGATAAACGACAAAAGGTAAACGATTTTTGCGGTCAATGGCCTTACGCTCACCAACTCCGTATCGCCATAAAATTAAAATTTTAAATATGTGAAAAATTGTATCTGGAATCAAAACATGGTGGTAAATTCTATCTTGAGCTCAAAAAAGTCTTGCAAAAATGTTTGGAGTAGATTCCAAAAAAGACCGTGAAATGAATGGATGTATTCTCATCAAAGTAGCTAAAGAACTAAAAGAAATACTATGTTCTCATCAAAAGTTATAAATTTTAAAGTTTTCGATTTCAATAGATTCCAGAAAATCTGAAACATTAATATGAAACAACATGAACACTTTCTGAATTTCTAAACAAAGCGTGTGGTTGTATCATACTATTTATATAAGTTTTTCTATGCTCTCGTTATACAACAACTTTGTACAACCTTCTATAAAGAACAAGAACTTCTAGTTCAAAGCTCAAGATATTCAAATTTGACTGTCCCCTACCCTTGGTTCAGTTTTTCAACAGCTGCGTCTATGCAAAAAATTGAGGTAATGATAAAAAGCGCCATTAGATCTGTTTATTATGACCATTTAAATTCATCCATTATATCTTTTTATCATGATCATTTAAATTCATATAGTGAGTCACTCTGCAAATAAAATGTTTAATGCATGCCTCCCATCTGAAGGTAGCCAATGTGAAAAGTTACAACAATCCTACTTTTGTGGAAAACATCTCCCAATTAACGGCAAACAAATAGAGCATATCACAGTAAACAGTCAAATTATGTTCTATCAATCGATGAAATTAGTTTTTCTCTTTGCAATCTATAGGTAGAAAGCTAGAGTTTTCTATCGATTCAAAAAAAGATCAGCAAAAGCAAAAAGTAAAACTTTAAAAAAAAGAAGTAAATGAAAAGTTCGAAAAATAGGAAAACTTTATCAAATAACCTTGTTCTTCGTTCACTATGCTAGGCTTTCACAAATTTCAGTATCATACCTCCCATCCCTTCCCTCCCCTCCCCCCACCCCCTTTGAGGAATGTTTGCATAAAGCAATTAACCGAGATTCCATGTTTCCACGTGCTTGCTATCAGATAGCATATAATGATATCAAGTTCTTCAACAAACGCTGTGTCGAGGAGGTCGGTACATTCTCGGCTTCTCCTACCTGCAGCTGTTAATTTTTCAAAATATACAACACTAGAGCATTCCAGGGAGTCTTTGAAGAGACATGAATTTTAATAAAGGAATAAGACTGGGAAAAGTAAAAAGCCATCATCTCTAAGATCGAAACAACTCCACTGTCAGGTGGCTCAAAACAACTCCGTTTTCATTTAGAAGGGACGAGAAGGAGCTTTATAGACGCCGACTGTAAATAATACCCTTAGATACAAAACAGGTAGCCACCTGAGTGTGCGATCATAAGGTCAGGCTTTGATTCAGTTTATCGCTGTATACACAGCTTTACCCAGAGTCTAGTTATATCTCAAAAGTCTAAAATTTTCATGATTGCTGGATAATTGTATAATATTTTCTGCTACGGAAACTCTCTGGCAAGATGCAGTTTAGGCTCAAGTTTTGGGTTCTCTGCCTATTGGCTTTATTGTTGGTCGCCCACTGGGTTGAATCGAAGAAAAAATCAAAAGGGCACAAGAAGTCAGGTGAGTCTCGTGCTTTATAATCGTTCGGTAATTTGGTTTTTAGCAAAAAAGAATAGAAGCTCATAGAAAAGGATTTAAATACTAACAAAAACTTTCCTCAGCGTTTTTACGAAACACGTGGAAGTTTGGTCAATCAAAAGTAAATGTTATATGCTGTAATTTGCAATTCTAGACGATAGTTAGGATTGGAGTTAAAATTGATTTTTCTTTTCATTAAAGCTAATTTGGTTTTAATGTAAATATCAATGCTAATATTTATAACGACTTATCGTCATCTTGACAACATTTGTGTACAACATTGTACAACGACGTACTGAATTATAAAAGTGTTTATTCTCCAACAACGATAATAAATTTGGAAGGAACCGTTCCATTTTAGCAAATTAGCTGTCATATATTACAGTGCTTTGAAAGAAATACCACTGTAATAAGAGCATATATAACACAGCACACGGTGTTATCAACATGGCACCCGATAACAACAGTAAATGAAAGAGATAATTCATAATCCATTTCACTTGAAGGCATACAGACAGAGCAAATAGTAAACAAATTTAGCAATCCTGTACGCAAAGAGCTGACAGAAAATTTAGGCCGTAGATACAATTTCTGGTTAGCTACGTTTAAACTGTTTAGACCGCACTTTGAATACAATATCAACGCAAATCTATTACAGTTTCTTGTACGAATGAATTCTTAAAATTTTTGACCGTAAACGGAACAGGGACGATAAAGTGTTATAGGCTACTGAATAAGCAAAACAAGATTAAAACAACAATTTAAAAAGACGCATTTCAATCAACACAAAATAAGATGTTTTCGTTTTATTTTGCTAGGAGTGAAAAAGTCAGAAAACCAAAAGACTAGTAAAATAGAGCAAAAGAAAAGCAAACCAGCAATTACTAGGCCAAGTGAGAAATTTATTGATGACGATAAAGATAAAGAAAAGATGAAAATTGCCGGAAAAATAGGGAAAAAGAAGAATAAAGGAAAGAGTAAGAAAAAGCAGGAGAAAAAACATAAAAAGAAAACATCTCATGCAAAAAACACTGTTACGTTGTCAGGCAGGCCAAAAGAATTAATTCCAGAAGATATAAAAATTCTGCGAAAACATGAACAAATATCGGCTGATAGTCTTCCGGGTGGATATGGTGAAGATCCAACTATTGGTATGGAAATTTAACAAAGTTCAGTTCTGAAAATTGCGATGAAAGTCAGTTTAGCTCGTGTAACTAGGGGTTCATCACGTGTTATCAGGGGTTACCCGCGGTTGACCATTACTTAGGCTTTGTAGCTGTATATTAAGATCGCTGGTGTCAAAAATGACAGCAAGCAGTAGCGCAAATTGAGGATAATATTCGATTGAGCTCTTTGAGGCAGCTACGTGTTAATAGGGTACGAGATTTCATTGCTAATTAAATTATTGTTCTCAAAACAGCAAGTGATGGCAATACGACGTAAAATCATCAGAAAACAAAGTTATTATAAAAATCACCGCAAAGAAGAACCAAGAACTGTATTTCTACAATTTAGCTGTCATCTACCGGCTGTCACGTTGTGCTTTTCTTTGCCTACCTTAGCCTGATCAATCACACCCCTTGTGTCATGATCAAAATAAACCTTGTTCATGAAAGGCTAACAAACTTATATAAGAACCTCTTACCCTGCAACTTCAATATACACCTATTAAGCACAACCTAAAAAAGACTCAATGGAGAAAATGCCCTTTTTTGCAAGGAATAACTGTAGAAAATAGATTTAAAAATGATTCTGCATTAACCAGCATTTTTCTGTAGGGGAAGAGGTTGAGCAAAAGAAGAAGCCAGAACGAGCGACTATTGCTACAAACAAAGTTGTATCCAAAAACCCGTCATCAGCTACTATTTTGAAAACAAAATCGGACAAGACCGCCAAGAAGAAAAAGACTAAAAGTCTAAAGAAGATATCAAAGGATGTTCTGAAAAAGCAAGCAAAAAAATTCAAAAAAGAAGAAAATAAAAAATACTCCAAAGATGATGGGAAAAAAGTTCCCAAAAAGGAAGCTATTGTTTCTCCATTTGAGAAATTCCAAAAATTGGCAAAGCAAATTGACGAGAAAGTTCGCAATTTGAAACAAAAAGTAGATGGTAGCGCTCAAGTGAAGGCTTTGAAGGCAAAAGACAACGCCCAGGCTGCTACAAAGCCACAACAGTTGGCAGAACCAGTTGCTAAATCATTGCCAGCACAACCACTACCTGAACTTGAAGGATCTGGCTCCGGGAGTGGCAGCGGTTCAGGCGATGCAGGTTTGTTAATGTCTAGTCTTATTATTGTGATTACGTCATTTTTATTTTTATTTCATTGAATAACGTTTGCTACAATTTAATTAATGGAACAGGCTTAAAATCTTCATCATATTCTGATACTCAAGAACTTTGAGTTTCTAACCAATGCTTTAAGTAATGATTTCGATATCGCAGAAGAAGGACAGAACATGATGCCTTTTATATATTTCTTTTCTCGAACTCATTTAAATCTTATTGCAATTACTTATTTTGCAGAATCAAAATCACTGCTCCCTCTCGGTTTCAACTGTCCCTGGGGATGCTTCTGGAACTGCCATCCATACTGTCCATCAAAATGTTGCCACAATCCATTGGGCTGTCCTAAATCTTGTGAAATGCTTTGCGCGCCAGAATGCCCAGACAAGTGCTGCCCTGAAGGAACAAAACATCTCATGCCACTTACCTTGAAGTTCAATCCAGGAAAGCCAGAAGACTCTGTACAAAGGAACTCAGCGCCTATGCCGCCTCCAGGACAATCCCCGATGGGCCAGCCAGGTATGGGACAACCAGGTATGGGACAACAGCCAGGTCAAGCACCTCAGCAGCCTCTGACCTTAGCTCAAATGGGACCTGAACAACAAGCTGCCACCAAAACAAAAGCAAAGATGATTATGGACAACATTGCCATGATGGCACAACGAGTCGCAGGATACCCAACTGACTGCCCGATATTTTGTCCGAAATTATGCGTTCCACCATCGTGTCCACAGCACTGTTGCAGTCCAATACCGCCACTACCACCGATGGTTCCACCACCAATGATGCCATGCGCTCCTCAATGTACGCCGCCAGCTTGTGCACCAGCCTGTCCACAGCAATGCTGTATGCCACCACCACCTCCACCGCCAATGCCCTGTGCACCTGCATGCACTCCCCCCGCCTGTGCACCCAGCTGTCCACCAACCTGCTGTGCACCACCACCACCACCACCGCCACCTCCACCACCACCTCCACCGCCAATGCCTTGTGCACCTGCGTGCACCCCACCCGCCTGTGCCCCAGCTTGCCCACCAAGCTGTTGTGCCATGGGTTGATAACAACTTGATTAAGAACTTCAAGATATGCAATTTTATTGTACAGATTTCTGTAATAGCATATTTATCAGTCTTTGCCTGTGCTGCATCGTGAGCATATAGTGCAAACCATGTATTTAAGGTAGCTTAATGAATATATTTCAGTGTATATTTATCTGTCTGTATGAGAAATTTGTAACATCAGAAAGGTGGATGAGGAATCCCGTTGGCAATACAACCAACATATCCTCGATAAGCAACGCTTCAGTGAATCTCTAAGACTTTGCGTATGATTTATGCATATTTTCTCTTGCAATTACGTAAAAAAAGGAACACCATCACACCTACACGCAAGGATACATTGACATTAGCCATAAAGTTAAATTCAAAGTCCCTTTGTAGAATAAGCATCATAAAACCAAAGACGGAAATTTTTGAAAAAGGCTGCATCTCTGGATGTCGAGATTAAACCAATGCTAGATATAACACTTAGATGAAATTAGAACCTTTAGATATATCTATTAAACCAGGAAATGCTTAGTGTTTTGTCCCCAGTATGACCGAGACAAAATAGTCCATATTGTGATAAATTTATTCAAAAATTGATTTTGACTGACATACTATTTGTTGTAGAAATTTGCATTTTGTTTGTTATACAAGGATAAAACGTTGTAAAATAATTATACAAGAGAAATCTGTAGTGTACTTTTGAGTCCTTCTTTAGATTAAAAGCTGCCAATACTCAAATATATTTTATAGACAAAAATCGGCGTGAGCTACTCAAGAAACCTACTAAGAAACTCAATTGATGGAAAGATTGAGAAAAAAACTTTGCATTCATTATCAATAATCTAAAAAACGAAGGTTGTTTTACCAATACAAGTGGGTATCAGTAAAAAAATTACCAAAAGAGCTATTGTGAACACAAGCTGCTAGGTCAACGTATTGTGAACAGTTTTAAGTAAATAGCAAAGAAAATAGCCACAAAGAAGGAATCCAGGAATGCCAATCATGACAAAAAGTCAGCTTGGAAGAAATTCTATCAAATGGGCTTCAAGCGCTTGAACGACGCCTACAATGCCTGCCAAAAGTACTTGTAACACCCAGCAATTTACACTGCATTTGATATCTTTCATTCCTTTCATGAAAAAAATTGCTACTTCCGCCCCCTTCCCCCTAAAACAAAGTTGCTGATTTAGAGAAATATCATAAAAGAAGCGCAAAAGAAAGTGCTTCCTAAAACCCTAACCTGTTTGAAAGTAAACCAACATTGTTCCGTGGGGGAGAGGGGGGTGATTGGTTTTGACCTTGGGAATTGATGTCAGTGTTCCAAGACTTTTGGCAGGCATTGTATGACTTCTCGTAGTTCAACTACAGGCTTATCACGCGGCTTATCACATGTGAGTATAATCATAACAAGATTTGTTAACTATCAATAAGACAGAATTTGACGTTTAACTGCTATACATGCCAAAAAATCTTCTGCCTGAGAACTACCTGCACTAACCACTATTTCAAGTAGTATTTATCTCTTGATGATATAATTTTCAATTAGTTATGGAATTTAAATTTCTCAGTGAACAAACTCTTTCCTTTTTCTTATGTGCAACTCTAATCCATTCTTCAACATTAAACACTCATTTTGTTTGCAAACAAACAATCGGATATTGCGTAAAAGACCTGTCAAACGACAAACAATGAACAAATGACAATAGGAGACCAAATGATACATTCGGCGCCTACTGTACGAAACGACCCGGCAATGCTACCATCTCTTTATGCATCGCAACACGAAGTATCTCTTCTCATGAACATCATAACACGCACACAGACTAGGTGTTTAGTAAAATGCCCGTCCTTCCCTTAAAAATACCCCTTCTTTCCAGCACACGCTGTCTTTTCTTATTCTTATAGCGATGTACATATACTCTTCAAAGAAATTGAAATTGAAGATGCTATCACACCATGAAATCGAAATTTGGCGTTACACAAAACCGTAGTTTCCTTTTGTACGGAATTGACAAACTGGTCGATAAAGAAAAAACTACGAGCTTTTCGAGGCGTTAGCTTATGAGCCATGTTAAGTGATGCTCGTTAAACAGTGCTTAAACATCGTCTACTAGGCGAAATTGTTTGAAAATATAAGTCAAAACAGTTGGATAGATATGCAGTGACCCCATGAATAACGAGTGCTGCCTTTATTGTGCTGCACTACGCATGAATGAGTTTTACAAACCTGCGCAGTGTGGCCGCATTCAAGGGTGATCATCTCCTTGATGACCCAAAGCACTCTGTGTCTTTCAATCGAAACCTGGGCCTGAAAATGATCATGTAACTGCTTAGGAATTTTTAATGGACTTGCCTTCCACTGTTGATTGTTTTTGCAAAAATTCAAGGAAATATGGACGTTAACAAACGATAAAGAATAAATGAGAGGATAAAATCAAAACTGTTGGAGATAGAGTTGGTTGTTTGTTTGTTTCTCTAGACTTCCATGTAGTTTTCGTTAGAAGAGAAATTAATTGCGACATGATTATAAAGTGGAGCACTTTTTACGCAGTTACCTTATTGCTGTGTTTAACATGGGGAACTGGAAATACAAAGAGAAGACAAGGAGTTATCAATCCGAATTTAGTTCCAGAGATTATAACATCAGCGATTGCTGGGGGAAGGGTGGCCGGCGATGAAAAGAATAAAAAAAGTGCAATAAGCGGTAAATATAAAAAACTTTTACGCATTCTAGGCCCCGAGAAATCTTGTGAGTGTGCTAGTAATGTGTATTTTCTTGAACACATTATTCAATGGCTTGACAGCGAATGAGTCGATTGCACGTTCAATTTTTATGGGATCGTGGAATAACCAAACATACAGATAGGGCATTTAACAGACAGAATTGATTATACGCAGAGAAGATTATTGGCCTAGTTATATGACAACTGTGATCGAGGAAGCATTGCCTGGACAGAAAATTCAAAAGCAGATCGAAGAATTGTTATATGGTTAATCCTGTCAAACGACCTCATCAATTTAAAAATATGTAGCATCTCTGCGACAATGTTAACTAAGCCTATTGTGGAAACACACCACATTGGTGCCGTTTGGAAATTATCTCATCAAACTTACGCTCTTTTCCTTGATGTTCGTATTATAAAGCTGTAACATAACTTCTTTTAGGAATTCATCTTAAAGAGGCAACTGATGCCATAAACAAGTTGGTAGATGAAAGCATAGGTAAGTACAGTTTCATCTAAACTGACATAACCGAAGAAACTTGGACATTGCAAACAAAATTCAGTTTAAAAAGCGTGTGGTTGCAAGTGAAAGAAAAAGTAAAGAAATAAGAAGTATTCGCTCATAATATCTATTAGCTCATAATTCGAGAAGAAAAAGTTGACAGAACAAAATCTACAAATGTTATATGAAAATAAACTAAAATAAAACACCATTACAAGACTAGCTCTTTAAGATATTATTGTTTACTATCTCTATTATTCGAAAAATAAAATCGTCCTCTACAGAAAGTAGACTGCTTTTAAAATTCATCTTGAAGATACTTATAAATAGAAGATACAACTATAACATAATAATACAGCTAGAATAGTATGTGAAATTATCATTCGATTTCAGTTGACAGAGTTCAGGAAGCAGAGAAAGAGGTTTCTCATATGCTGTTGAAAAGCATAGGTATGTATTTTCACCTTTCTTAAGTTATTATGAGGCTTTCCTCCTTCTAACAAACAAACAAACAAACTTTGGCTTCATCACCTATTCCTCAAAGGTAAACTAAAAGGTGTGCATTTTCCCCTTTCAGCTGTAGTTGGACTTTTCCAGTTTATAGCGACCAATCACACTGGCTATTTTTCTACACTGGCTATTCATCTACACTGGTTATTCATCTAGGCCTAAATTTGGTTATATCTAAATGTGTAGATCGCCAAAACTTACACGCAACAGTTTTTATTCCTAACTTAGCCTATCAACAAAAGATGCAGGCTGATTTTGAAAGTCAGTTCCACCAACTTTTACAAAGACAATAAAGGAAAGAAAGTATATTGAAATGAAGTGTTAGTGATTAAGATATATTTCCATATAATGGTCTTCATTACTGTACGATTAGTGATTTAATTTACGTATTTTTTGTATTAACGCTATAAGCTGCATTATCATGTTTTTATCTATTTGTAGAAAGTCATATTCAAGAGGCAGGAAAGGTCCTGCTAAAAGAAGATGAAGGTATGTTAGAATAAAACAAAACAGTACGCATGTACTATCAAAACATAAAATACTGTCTGTGTCTCCTTACCTCTTAGAAGTACTTTCACACGGCTTTCATACTTATTTTATAATGCCAATTTTGCGTTTAAAAGCTTATTTCATATATTTTCATCTGATGCATCCACATCTATGAAAAAGAAAAAGAATGAAGAAATAACTTCAAGTAATATATAACAACAATTTAACAAACTTTGATTATAAACTAAACCTGAACATTTCAGAGAAAAAAACACTGATTTGAAACTGTGTAAAAATAAAGCTCTGATATCTCATTTTAATAACCCATAAATTGTGTTTCTTCCAGTAACCTGCAAAGATAAACTATCCCACTGCAAGGAGCTGAAGAAAGCTGGCGTCTGCGAGACATCAAAAGATGCAATGGTTGTACATTGCCCAAACACATGCAAGTTTTGTGGTACGTAAAGCTGCACGTTTTTATTACAGCCCTAAAAACTTCATGAAAAAAGAAAGGCTAGATCACAAAAAAATCCCACTGAAAATATTTTCTGGAATGATCAATGAGACTTTATCTTAAAAATTAACTGCCTTGAGAAGTGTAAGAAATTAAAGCAATCGATAAGACAAAAAGATCTTCGCGCATAAATGACAAAAACATTTTAACTTTTACAAATTAAAAATTGATAGGGACATTATACGTATTATAATAGAACCGATAACCAATCATTCATGTAAAATTTTCTTATAAAGACTTGGTGCACAAAGCGAAAAAAGGCAAAAGCAAGAGCGAAGAGGGAGATGAGTCAGATCTAGACAAGTTAGAAAGTGCTGCCCAGAGAGTCTTCCCAACCAAAAAGAAGTCAAAGAAGCACAAGAAAGTCGTTGTGAAGGCCAACCATCTTTCCCCACACGAAACACAAGCCATTCACCAAAAAATGCTCGAAGCAACGAAAGACGGTTCGTCACTACCAGCACAAGCACCTTTCAACCCTCAGCCAATACAAATGCCAAACATATACGGTGGAGTGCCAGCAAATGGATTCCAGCAGTCATTTCAGCAAATGCAACCATTTCAGCCAACGACGTCATTCAATGAGCCATCTGCACAAAGAGATGAGACTTCTAGCGATGACAATGAATATGGTCTTGACAATAATGAGTCACCAGAAACAACAGTTGTGCATAAACTTAAAAAGAAAGCTCATAAAAAGCAACACCACCATCGTCGTCACCATTTTCACAAGAGCGATGACAAACCTGTAAATGTTTATGACTTGGGAAAAGGTATCATCACTTGAATTTCCATTCAATTAAATTCGATTTATCAAATTAGAAAGCATGATTATTGCATCACAGAACCTTGGATTATAAATTGTTTGCTGATGCTGCATCTCCCAACATCTTGGTAATTGACAGTTACCAAAGGGGCTTAGCCATCTTTCAATCAAAAATGGACCAATCAATGAGCTTGATTCTACTCTCGCGTGGTTTAAACCACATTTACATCTGTCGATTGCCTCATTCAAGAAACATTATATATATTATACGAAAAACGTCAGCTTTCCTTTTCCTCTTTATAGTTCGAAATATTCTTCAATATGACAGACAAAGCATTAATTCCCAATATATTCTCGGCGTTAAATAAATATTTAATTAATTGCAGTGAAATTAGAAGAATACTTAAAGGAAGAGTGTCACCCATTATGTGCAGAGGACTGCATCTCATCTTGCGCACCAGGATGTTGCAAAAAGAAGGCAGTTGTGAAAAAGAGCCACAAGAAGCCCAAAAAGAGATGCGCGCCAGCTTGTGCCAAGTAATGAAAATGACATTATCGATTTTCTTGTATAAGAGATTATTATTGGTGTTTTCAGTGTAGGGAATTGGAATGAAAATAAAGACGTGGAAACTCACATTGAATGATTTCTTAGCATCACACTTATCTACTCTTTAGCACATTACTGATGCAAATTAATGCTTACTGGTAGATAATTTATTCTGATTATCCTTTTTATCTAAAATTGGATGTGAATACGATTATTTTAAAAGTCTATTATTCGGGGATTCATCGTCAGCTTCAATTATTATGACGCCTTAGTTGAAAACGGACTTCACGTGAAATCGAATGCATCAAAGCGTACCTTTTAGACTGAAAACATTCAAAAAAAGATTCATTGATGAAAAAATGGAAGTCTTGAAAGCACTGCCGCTAAACCAGCAACAAAGTCACATTTAAGTGCCACTGCTGGAAAAAATTAAGCTATCTCGCTACAGCAGAAATCAAGTACCCTTACTAACAGATATTGTTTATTGCCCATCCCTAACAAAAGGATACCATCTTTCCACAGAGTTTGTTTGCCAATGTGTGATCCTGGCTGTTGTCCTCCTGCAGCACCCCAAGTGCCAAGTCTGCCTCCAAACACAGGAATGGCTCCATTGCCAAGGCTTTGCCCTCCAGGTTGTCCCTCGGTAAGTTGACTTTTTAGTTCTATTGGATTAGTTAATCATGAGGTTTGTCCATATGGTTGTTTTTGCGTACATCAATTGGCTCGATTCAAAGGTTCAGATCAATGCCAATGTCTCGATATTATATTGAAATGATAAAAATCAACAGAATATTCGAAAGAACTAAAACAAGTTATTATACAAAAGAACATAACATCATAACAAAAGAATAAAGAAATGGGAAAATTAATTAAGGCTATATGTAGTATATACACAAACATATTGGCTAAGGTTAGTGCTCCTCTAATTCTTCTAGGAATGTGCACCAGCATGTGCAGATGAATGTTGTGGGTATGCCCAACCAGCAATGCCGATGCCGATGCCGATTCAAATGCCAATGCCGCCACCTCAAGTTCCAGCACCAGGTGGAATGCCTCCTATGGTCATCTGTGCTGCAGTCTGTCTACATTTCTGTGCCCCCGAGTGTGCACCTCAATGTTGCCCTCCAACAGCACTGCCAATGCCACCACCAAGTCCAGTATTCAGGCCGCATATTCTTCATTGTCCTGCTCCTTGCAACCCAAGCTGTGCACCTGCATGCCTACCTGGATGCTGTGAAGGCAGGCTTCCGATTCCAGCTATGATGCCTCGACCACCGCCACCTCCTCCACCACCACCTCCCCCTCCACCACCTCCACCGCCACCACCGCCGCCAGTTATAATTCCTCCTCCAGCTACATGTCCAAGTCCATGCCCTGGAGCCTGTGCACCATCGTGTGATTTTGACTGCTGCAAACCATTCTTAGACTCTACCATCGTACAACAGATGGAACAAGATATGATGAATGCTATTAATCCACCACCATCATGCAACCCTAGCTGCATGAGCCACTGTGCAGCTTCCTGCCCACCTCCATGCTGTGGATCATCACCACCGCCACCACCACCTCCACCACCATGCCCTTCATCTTGTGCAGCATCGTCATGTGCCCCAAGCTGTCCTGCATCCTGTTGTCCCCAACCTGCACCAGCTCCGGCACCAGTTACCAAAGTCATCCATATCCAACATGTGTTTTCGCCAAGTCAAGGAGCTACATCGACGCCTTCATGCCCTGCAGCTTGTAATACCCACTGTGGACCAGCCTGTGCAAGGGACGGCTGTTGTGTAGATAAGAAAAAGCGAAAGAAGAGCAAAATAGAGAAGCCGGTAAAAAAACAGAAGATCGAAGCTGTCGATGATCAAGAAAGCGGTGACGAATCAAGTTAGGTACAAAACGATCACAACGAATTGCGAATAACAGCCTACAGTGGATATCTATCCTAAAAGAAGATGATAAATGGGGAAAAAGGGTTATTTCGCGTAGACAATTCTACTAAACGTGAAAATAAGCGTGAAAACCTGTACAGATATGAAGAAATTTTTAAGGTCATTTTTCATCCATAGAGTGTCAATATTAAAGACAAAGGTATTTAAAAAAATTCAGATAACAGTCCAGTAATAATAGTCTTTGAAGCTTAATTTCTACCAGCGAGAAAATGCAATGTACTGTTCGACCTATTCACATATGATTTCATCGGGTGCATCTTTGCATTTCAAATACAAAACGTTCAAGGAAAAAAACTGTAACAGGCCACATATTTACTTAGAAGGTATTCTGGAGCAAAAGGCCTTCGATGGAAATCGTTGGCGGATACTCTGTGGAAAAGAAAGCGAGCAGAAAAGTTTTAGCTATAGCGTGAATTGTTGTAAACCTGTGGTTTGATGGGGTACGATACATTAAGCCTAAATAGAAAGATAAAGCACGGGAGAAAGTCGTATGAAAGCAAGTCGTACTGTATAAAATAGTCTGAAATAACAAATATAGTAGAGTGAAAACGGTCATTATTGGGACCAGATATATTTCATTAAGGAGGTCGCTCGATGCTGCTCCAAGAATATATCAGCTCGTTGCATTGATGAGTTTGTGAGAGGGATTTGTATCTTAATCTTTACTTCAATTCGCTGACTTTCATTCACTTTAATTTTGACAATAGACATTCTTCATTGTAACAACATCCCAATGATTTTTAGGGATGACATGTAGCAAATTGGTGTAATTTCTAAGCCAATCTGAACAGTTTCGGCACGAAAAACACTTTCTATTTTCATTGTTCACAGAAATGTTGACGTTCGTCTTAGATCTAAATAAATACAGGCAAAGTAGACTGTATGTACATCATTATAATTACTCATTTCAACGAAATGCTTAAACCATCGAAAAACCTTTGCGTTTATAAATGTGTATCTTTGTTTTAAAAGGAATTAGTTTTTATAATTACTGTAAATTATACAATTCTCGCAGTTTCTTTACCTTGCATCCTTCAACATGAAAGAGTTTGTGTGTAATGGCAAAACTGCAAAAGTTGAAAATACTGATGTAACCTTTTCATACCTATCTAAAAAGTGTGTTGCTAGAATCACAAAGCTTTTTGTGAAATTGCAACATTATCGGCACAATTTAACTAACCTTGGCTGATAAATACTTTACAATAACATTCAGTAGTCCTAGATATTTATTTTATATGATAATGGTTATAAGGATGGCAAAAAACCAATATCTTTAAACTGGCAACTAAAAGTAAATACCTACTTAAAACCTAATGCAGAAATCAATCGTGAAATTAGTACACAAACATTTAAAAACTTGTACGCAATTATGAAATATGATGAGCATTAGAACTTAAAAAGTGATACTTTCTTCAGTTTTTCTTTAAATGTCAATGGTATTTACTATTCTGCAACATGAAATCTCAGTAAAATTATAGAGTACAAGTGCCCTCCTTGATTACTCATAGAGTGTTCTAGGCTCATGCTATTGTGGCAATTTCAGAATTGTTTCAATGAGAAAAATTACTTTAACTTTTGTGACAAAGCTTTGGTCAGATACAATCAGATACTGGTGTAAAAGAAAATCAATTGCACTTAAAAAACGATTGTATACACATAATAAAAAGATATAAAAATATATACACCTAATAAAAATATCAGAAAGAAGGTTTGCCTACTTGATATAACTCTGCAAAGGTTAGGAATTGACGCAGTCTTTGTCCAAAACGTTTTTCACCGTTGTTTAAGAAGGTCTGTCATATTGGAGGTGTCCAGAAGTTGAGATTTTACAATAGTTCGAGCACACGACTAAGAACATTTGAACAAATCTAGGTATCTCCAACATTTAATCATATTTAATTTTTCATATTAGGAAAGAAACTTTTATAAAAGATGCCGCTTTTCAATATAAGTATCAAAAATCATTGATAAAAAGCCTAAGAATTATAATAAAAAGCCACAAAGTACTTCAGGCAGCCTCTCCAATTACAGAACATTCCATTTGGTGTAAATTACGTTTACACAAATTAATTCACCACATTTATAAAATCTACACACGGCGATATTGGTTGCTACGGCGCCATTTTTGACTGCTGAAAAAATAGTTTTACTTATGGAGAGAGTAGTGATAAGAATCCTGGGTCCATGGTATACCATTAGATGCTGGGTGCCTGGAAAATGCCCAGCGGTTTCTCTAGCAAAACATTTTATAGGGAGCCTGGCTTGGAACAAACAATACAAAATGAACAATCTCAAACTACATTGATCTAGAATTCCTATAATTTTGGCTCACTAAACAATTAAAGATAGAATTCTTTATTTTTGACTCAGTTCATGCATGCTACCCAACCCAAGATTTAGGCCTCAGGATGGTTATTAAAACAAGCTATATGTATTCCGCCCCTTCTCTTTTTTTGAAGACCCTTGTTCTGCATTGAGATTGAACAAAGAACCTGAAATACCTAAAGTGTGAATGTGAACTCAAAGGCTTCAATCAACAGGACTATGTAATTTAACACTGCGACCAATGGCGAACAGTGCAGGGCAGTATGCATAATGATCATGCATCTAAGTACCTGTTGCCCAGAGCATAAGATCATATGACTTGCAGTTCGTTTCTAGAAGAAATGCTGGCCAGTGGCAGAATTCATGGAGACTTAATGAATACTATTCAACGCCCAAGTGATCACTCAAGCAGAAAATATGCAAAAATAGCTTGAGGCTGCAGAAATTATCACTTTGGATAATATAAACGCACAAAAGTGAGTATCTGTAAAATATTAAATAAATAAAAAACCATTCTTACTAAACATTGCATAACAAAACGCGCAAAAGTGACTTAAAAAGTGACTGACTTTGCAAAAGACTCTTGTAATATGAGAAAATGCACAGCGTTTTGCAGAGGGTTGTTGATGGGAAAATCAAAGTTGGAAGAAACTCGGTGTAGCCGAAAAGAATATAACTTACGAGAATGCACAAGTTTCTGCTGGACTTTATATTTTACTTTGCATAAAGCAAGTTTTTAGCTGCTAAAGACGCCAGAATAAAGACAAGAAACTGTAACAAGAAAGAAGCGTTGCAACCAACAAGCTATGAAACATTAGGGATGAAATTATTCAAAGCTTTGCGAATGTGATGTGTATCTTTGTTGCAAATATGAGATGGCAATCTTTATTTCAACCATCGATTATCTTTCAGAGAGTTCCTGCATAGGAACATAATGAAATTCGTGCTCTTCTTTTGCAGAATGCGGACTTGGTTGGTGATAGCCCTACTTGTGGGCTGCTGTTTGCTCATAGCTCAATCAAAAGAAGCTAAACAATCAAAAGGTAAATAGAAACTTAGAGATAATCAGAGTACAGTTTCAAAGCATTCTTTCAAGAGTTGATCAATGAAAATTTGAACAAAACTGGAGCCATCAATGATAAATGCGTAGAGGATACCTTATATTTTGGCAGAATTAGACTATACTCTCAATTCAATCGCATTTTTCCACTGAGCTGCAATAAAGCTGCATTAAACAACTCGATCATAAAGAAGTGATAATTGACTGCTGATTAACTAGCACTTACTTTTGGTTTTTTTCTTTCGTAATTTGGGCCCAAAAGAAGACTTCTCTTACTTTGCCCTCTCTCTTTTTCGGTAATGAAATCATGCCTAAATGGGCTATTCCTTATAAACAGATCAATCCATTTGTTTGTAGCGTTACTGAAACAAAAGAAAATAAAATCTGAAAAAGTCGAAGCGCTAAAACCGAAGCCAGAGAAGCAAGATAAAGGTGGGAATGATCAAGACGAGGAAGATCAAGAATTCGCAGATGACGATGAAGATGACAAATTAAGTTTAGAATCTCAAGACGAATCTTCCGGAGAGCCAGAAGCTAGAGATGGTGGAATGGGTAAGTTTTTTCTTCGAAAAATGCTTAATGAACTAATGATATTTTTAACTGTAAAAGGCACCTTACATAGACATAAACAGGCCCGTCAAAACCTGGGGGCTAGGGCCCCCTAAATAATTGTCAAGCTGTAGTATGTTTCCTTAATAACAGTGCACTGAATGAGAAGGAATACAATGGCCAGCCCCCCTCCCCCCAATGTGAATTTCGTTTTACGAAATACGAAAAATTGGGTCGTGTGTTATGCATAATGGTATCCTCCGTTCTACGTTGAGACAAAAATGAAAGTTCAGACAAAATTCGTAAATCATTTATTGGATAAGCTTTTGTTTGAAAGTTGTTTTTCGCTTTTATGTAATGGCCATGGAGTAGTTACCCACTTCTCCTTGTCGTTGTATCAAATCAGTGATGTTGTACGGTAATATGTAAGTAGTGGCAATACTAAAAATTAATGATGTAATATTATACGTTGCTTGAAATAATTCAAGAATTTCACTCTTAACAGCTCAGTTACCAGATGAATTAACAAAAGGACAAGGTGTTGGAAAACCAAATCGTAAGTTTATGTCAGTAACATAGCGCCAAAGATAGTAAATGATTGGAAATCTAGAAATGTCATAGTTTGCTTGGAAAGGTATTTACAAACAACTGTGTATGACGACACCTGGGATATTTCCCACAATCAAACGACAACTATTCAAAAAATTGGATTTAAAATAAAAGGCTACTTATACTATTCAGAAACAAATATATCTTGAAACTAAAAACTTCAAATGTCCCACTAGTTCCTAAGTAACTATTTCAAAGTGACAACCTTGTCCAACATTTTGAAAGACCATTCAGAGACCTACGATCTTGGAAAGCAAATGTTGAGGTTTTACACACTGCCCCTCTGCTTCAATGCAGATTGCTGATATCTCTAATTTGCATACCACAACAACACCTTGTAATATATTTATGCATTCCACACTGCATGTCTATAATTGTTGGTGTCTCAAGATCAATTTCCTGAATTGGAAAAGATATCATCTGGAAATAAATTCCTTCACCAGTTTGATACAGTAGCATGTTTTGAATAAATACCATTATTCATGTTTGAATTAAATTAACCATTCAACTTCAGTTCCTCCTGGTGCACAAGCTGTTGCTGCTCCTCCCAACCAACAGCCACCACCTAACCCACTGCAAGGCATGGAGGATGATGGAAAGGCAGCTGGATCAGGAGGTACAACTCATTTTCTGTTTTGTGTTATAGCTACATAAAGAAAGTGCCTCAAAAAAAACAAAGCACATATACACAATTCAACTGAAAAGTAGATACCTAAAAGGTATTATGGAAAAAATGGAAAATGTGACTAAAACATTATTTATATGCATAATGAAACTGAACAAAAAGGACTGTTCAATTATCTTACAGTGTGAAATTCATCTATGGGAGGCAGGGGTACCATAAAAGGGATATAGAGGCTACAATACCTACAATAATCTATTGACTGGAAAAGTTTCTCTACCAGTCAAAATCACAGCATAATTCAATTTTTTGTTGTTGTATGTGTTATAATTTGTAACATCTTCTATAGAAATTGAGACGTATGAAGAGGCTCAGCTATTTAAAAAAATGTTTAGTTCGAAAACAAATATATATACTCTATCACACTTAGTGACCAAGTCAAAGTAGAAGTAGGGCATCAATCCAAAAACCTCAGTAGAATTCATCCTAAGTATCTTAACTCTGATAAATATGAAATGAAAATTTCAAACTAAAGCTCAGAGTTTGAATGAAGAAGAAACAAAATGACGGAAGGGTTACTTTAGAACAGAACAATGCTTGGCTGAGAGATGATGCCTTTTGGATCTAATGACGTCTGTAATAAAAATAACTAGAACTTAGCATGTAACAAGCATATATGTCATAATTTTATAACCATTGCTTTAAAGGTGGTGAAGACTTGAAAGAACTCCTCGATGAAAGCATTCGTAAGTACAACCTCAATATCGTGAGATAATTACTTCTATAATTCTTTTAAAAGAAAATTCCTGCTAAAACTTTTATTTCGTAACTACAGCACTGCATATAGAAGTGGGTTTCATGTTGTTGATAAGTTGTCAAAAAGATTCTCTTCTTTCAGCTCCCCTCATTTCAGGAAGTTAACGCTGTTGCCTTTGCCTTTGATACGAAAATACTAAATTGTGCATCTTATCCTCTTCCTCAATTATAGAAAACCTCATCAGAGCAAACCAAGCAGTTGAAACCCTTTTAAAGGCTACTGGAAATACTATTGGTAAGCATGCTTCTTATCATTAGCAAATGGTAGATTTACACTGTGAAAGCATCACAATAACATGAGACTTAGGTGTCTCAGGGTGATTCAATGGTAAGGATCACAGCAACTACAAATCCAAGGTATTGAGGCTCCAATCCTTGATAGACCAGGCATTTTCTTAGAGAAGGGAGAGCTGCAAACTCTCTCTCTAGGAGTAGAGGTCACAAAATGATGCAACATCAACAGGAAGGACTAAGACACTGCTCTATAAGCTTTTCAGTGCCTAAAACTACATTCTGAAGCTAAATAGCAAAAAATACAAACACATAGGTTTAAGACTTTTCTAAGGCTGCAAGAGATTTGATTCCTAGTCATGAAAAACTGAAACATCTAAAACAACTTAAGTAATCATCCATGCCCTGTCATTTAAATCATACATGATTGTTAACCAACGTAACATTTATCAGTATAAATCTACAAACTTAGCACAGCAAACTCTCTCAGCATTTCAAGATTCATTGGTAAATAAATCAATTAAAATATTCTGTGACTTAATCATCTGTTGTTTTTTTACAACAGGTGGACCTGCACCACCTCAGATGCCTGTTCAAATGATGAGTAAGTTTTATATATATATCACTCATCTTTCTTGTTGTAAATATGTGATTTAAACCATTGATAAAGGCCAAAACTTAATTTAAGAAAGGAATTACTTTCTAGTCATACAGCTAGATCAATCTATAATTTTATAGCCTTTGCATTAAAGTTTAAACAGTTGTCCTCTAGCAGGTAATATGTTCCTTGAATGATTTAAAAGATATCTTTATCATGAGATTTTATTCAACTTAACCTATTCTACCAGATGAACATTTAACTGATGAAAAATGCCATTAGACAGACCTTCTAATCCTATACTTCTTTTTCCAGGCTATCCTCCCTACATGCAACCTGCCCAACAAATGGGACCACAGATGTGTGGAGACATGTGTCATGATATGTGTGCTCCAGATTGTTCCTCTGATTGCTGTGCAAACCCTTATCAGTTTTTACAAATGCCACCACCTCCCCCTCCACCATGCACACCTCCTTGTGCCCCACCACCTCCACCCCCACCACCTCCACCACCTCCTCCACCCCCTCCACCTCCCCACCTCCTCCTCCACACCACCACCACCCACCTCCCCCACCACCACCACCACCTCCACCCCCACCCTGTGCACCATTGTGCCAGGCCCCAAGCTGTGTAGCTAACTGCCCACCCACATGTTGTGCACCACCTCCCCCACCCCCTCCAGCAATGTGTGCTCCTTCTTGTGCACCAACTTGCTGTAGGTTCACAGGTTGAGTTAGCAGAACATTGGACGAACAATAACAATAAGACTAACAGAGTGTTCATACAGGACATGTTGGCAAATTGAGGCGTAATTTGAGCATAAGCTGAAAAGCAAGACAAACTTAGATTGCCTGACAGCAAAATAACATGTAAGGTATTCAATGGAGCCTATAATGGATGGACAAAAAATAAGTACAAGGAACGAATAAATCAATCAAGAACTGAATTTTCCCAAAAGTAATTGACCAATACATAGAAAATACGAAGATTTGCATAACCAATTCATGACCAACTCTTGGAGGATCTACCTACTACTCGATCTGAGATATCAAATATTGAAAATGTAATTGCCTTCTATCAACATCCTTCATATTGGAATCAATAGAAAGCCAAGAACATTTAGTTGATAAAGAAATGTTTTTTAAACTTAGATCAGAATTTTGCTTGAAAAATGTGACACTTTTTGTAGATTGTAATTTAATGCAAAATATTAAATACAGTTGTATTTTTATCATTTCTGTATGGAATGTTTAATATATTTGATATTAAAAGAACTTTTTTAACAATCTTTTGTTTGATTTTGTCTTTCTTAGTCGTGAGTGGCAAACTAAGAACTTATCATCCAACTTAATCAAGCTTTTATTTTTTTTATAATCACAAATAAGTTTGAATCGAAAATGATCCAAAATGAGATCATTTTCCAAAGCCCCAATAATTTGTATAGAAAATTTACTAGTTTAAAGAAGTCTCTGAAAAAAGATCCTATACAAAAAGACCAACTCACTGTGAGTTAAGCATCCTCTCTAATAAACCCCAATGTAAAACTATCAATGTCACGGTCCTTGTCACATCACCAGCTAATATCACTAATTCAGCCAAAAAAATATTCATTTCGGGCGTCCTTTAAATGGTAAAATGCAGTTTTTTGTAGCAGAAGAATTGAACCAAATTTCTTGAGGTCTGGCTTGCACATGGTAAATAAGTATAAGTTGTTTTCTTTACAAAAGCTTTTGTTAAAATATTAAGAGCAAAATGCAGCAGCACTTGCATTTGATTCTTGCTCGGAAGCCTGTAAATTCAAAATTACTAGGACTGCTATAAACTCAAAATTTCTGTGGCTGCGAAAGAATTTTAACAGGACAGAAAGGAAATTTGTGATTTACACAGACAGAACATAAACGTTGAACCTTCACAATATGATTATATCGATGCAACACTGGCTACAAATTTTCTACAAAATGAGCGAAATATTTACCTATATCACTCTGTAACGCAAGACTGAAGTCAAATATGTATAGATTTTGTAGAAACAGAACAAGGATTACCTGTGAATTTCCAACGAAAGGCCATAATTGATGCTCAAAAATTTCCCGCCAACACACCCTCTTTTTGTTTGTGTCTCGATTCCATATTATGCGACAGCGCGATTAAGTATAGAGATTGCCCCAAATATCATGGGCTCCGATGCAGGTTGGAAATTGGGGGGTAGCAAGGGAGATTTTAACAATCATAACAAAGAATTTTAAAAAAGCTCTATTGTTTTGCAAAAAAGTGGGGGAGCCATGGTCCCCCGGCCCTCCTTGGTCGAAGGCCCTGATGTTATTGCTTGATGAGTTTAGACTGCCCGAATGGAGCCTGCAATGCGGTAGAATTTGCCCCGTTACCGTCATGACCTTGTTTCCCCTCATCCCCGGTGTTTTCTACGCCTCTGACAATGGGATCCGACACAGGTTGGAAAGTGGGGGGTAAGGAAAAATTTAGCACCCACAACAACAGAAAATTGGATAAAGCTCCATTCTTTGCAAAAAAGTGAGAAGGTAAGAGTTAAGTTTACGCACAAAATGTTTAGAACATAGTTTTACTGTGCCAATATTCTCCTGACGGCAGTGATAGATTCTCTTAGAACAGAAAGAAATCAGAATAAGCAGATAGCATAAATTGAGCAAAAAACTGGATGAAAAGGTTTTAATGCTTCCATAGATCCAACTGCATCTGTGTCCAGGGCCATCGGAAAGCGCCCCCCCCCCCAATAATTGTCAAACGGTGCACTGAATAAGAAGCAATACACTGGGCAGCCCCCCTCCAATATTAATTTCTTACCGACGGCGCTGGCGTACACATTGAAGGTTTAAGCACTAGAAATTTTTGAAATTCTCCCCCCCCCCTACTCCCTTACATACAATCAACTTCTTTATAAAAGCACCAAAATAAAATTTAATATGTTTGGAAGGCTTACTAAAAACGTTTGACCCAGTCAGATTGGATGTACTTTTGAAAGTTCTGATAGGAATGGGTATCGATTAACTGAATTGTGTTGGGAGTAATTGCAGCACTTGCTATAAATTAAGACGTGCCAATTCAATTAGAAAACGTAGAAACAAAGTCATGCACTATTGTCGTCAGGGATGTAAGACAAGGATGCTTCCTTTATCTTCTTCTCTCCAAGACATTCATAGGAGGTCAGATGACCACTTGGTAAAAGAAGCGGATTGGTCACTTAGACCGTCGTCATGACAATCTCGTCAGTCGCAACATTGAAGGTTAGCTAGAAGATATACAATATCTGTACAGGTGACTTAAAAACAGCCAATACTCTCTCTGGCCCTTCAACAGAAAGCAGCTTTAATTCGCTTGGAATCTCTAAATAAAGTTTTCTCGCTAAATGGATATCTCTAAACTGGGTTGATTCACATTATTTCAGGTTCATCTTGAAAAACAAATTCTATTGTTTCAAAAACAAATTGGTGATGACAATCTAGTTTGTGATTAATTAACATTTTTTGTTACACATGCAAGTTTACGAAAGCAATCGATTTTTGACTGCTTTACACCTTCTATAAACAGCGTTTGGCATGCGACCTGCATCCCAATTCAAAATTCCCAAACGTTTTTAAAGCTTTGCAGGTATCTGTTAATGGGACTGGAGGGTATGAAACAAATCTAGCCAACCGTGTAAGCAACTTGACCTTGCCTGTCTTTGTAATGCAGGTGGCCATTCTGCAATAGGCCTCACAATTCTAACTAAATTTTTAGCCTTAAAATTCACCAAGTTCCCAAACTGATGTTATAATAAATCCTGGTCTTAAAGAAGGATCAAGGTATGTCGAGATATGTTTTCAGGTACACTTAAACAAGAGTATTTTGATAAAATGATTATTTCTACTTCCAAAGGCCTCAAAAAGCAGTTCTTGAGCTTAGCAAGTGAAGCATAACAGAAATCTCAAATAAACCATCCTTGATAATAAACACATAACACGGTTTTAGAGACATGCTACTTTTGCCTGTTTTCAAGAGCATTATTAATTGTCTCGACAATCTTACAACTTTAACTCTTCCTCTAGATCCAAGTAATCATCCAATGGTTCATAGCTTAAAATATTAGGTAGACATTACAACGTTCCAATACTATGATTATTTTTAGCTCTCGTAGCTAAGCCACTTTAACCTAACACCAAAACAATGTGGGTAGCAATTTACATTACCTCTGTCTATATTTCTATACCTTTCACACGATTGTAGGTAGAATTATTGAAAATTAATACTTGTCTTTGCAATTTTTTACTCATACATTAAGTTAGATGTTGTCAAAAATGAACTGTCTAAAACAAAAAGAAGATTCGACCAAATTTACAACCAGAAATTTAATTAGCATTAAAAAACACTGCTGTGCTCCTGGTTATTCATATCATACCCGTGCCGATGCATATTCTCAAACTTTTTTATTTAAACCTTTTGTAAAAAAGTCAAATATGTTCTTCTAGCTCAGTATCATATTATTGATCGTTTTCAGGACAATACTCATCAAAGAATGAGGTTCTTTGCTTTCACCTTGGCAGTTCTACTGCTTATTCAAGCTTTTTCTATAGAGTCAAGACACATTCGAGGTATGTAAATGTATGTCACATCTTTGAAAAAAAAGTTAGCTTTGCAAACAGCAAAATTTTGTACAAAAACATGTTGAAGTTTTAAAAAAAATCATTTTACAAAGACAGTCGTATATCTAATAAAGTAAAAACGAGACATAAAGTATCAAGCAGAAAGATTAATAGAAGGAAAGATTAGATGCTGGAGAAATCGAGAAATAATGGACCTTGTGGAATTTAGTCGTATGAAAAGTTAGCTATTAGCTTCTTGTAAATGAAGCTTACCTTAACTATGGAGAGTCAGAAGAAATTTCTTAGGTATGCTATGTTTTTCCCTTTCCATGCTATCTTGGCAAATTTTAAGGAACGAATATCTCAAAACCACCTAAACATCAAAGTAATTCATCACTGCAGTAACTTCATTTGTTTCAAGATACCTTTTTCTTTAAATTTTTTACATTCAATTAGCTCTAAACTCTATTCTTCTAATGAATAGTTTTAGAAAATGATGTCAATCTCTAATAAGATTTATCTTTTTAAAGATATGCTCTTAATCAATCGTTAGATAGCAGGAGCTTACACCTCTAAATTTCTAGAATAATACTCTTTTCTAACCAACTATCAACTTAGAAAAGCATTCAAAAGAAAAAAAGGTCACCAAACATCATGCTAACCAAGAAAAGGAAGATAGAGAATCAGAGGTTGAAAATGATAATCAAAGAAATTGTAAGTCATAACTTTAATTGAAGCATTTATCTTTCAAAGGTCCTAGTAGTTCTAGATGGATGACATTTAGAAGTTGGGTTAGTTAACAGAAAGATCAAATCTATATCATCGTTTTGGGTAAAACCTTGTAGAGAAGACCAAGATACTAACTGTTACACAGTGCCTGCCAGAAGACTCAGAATACTGATGTCAATTTGCAAAAGCAAATTCAGCCATCCCCTTCTTCTTCTTCTTACTATTAAACGAAAAAGAAAATTATTTGATGTTTTTCTAGACTATCAAAATTGTTTTGGGGAAAGTGGGATCAAGCTGTAATTTCTGAGAAAAGAAAAGAAAGGTATAACAGGATAAGCTGGGTGTTTCAAGTAATTTTAATAGGCATTGATTGTAGATCCCACTACAATTGAGTAAAAGAACAGAACTATTTGGTTCCGTAAATTTTAGGCCTCTTTCTATTACCTTTACATTTTTGGATAAAATGAACAAAACTAGATTAAGATTTCACTAGATAGAAATTAGAACGGAAATGCCTCACAAGGCTTCGCAATAATTAAAAATTATCATTTACGTGTAGCAGCTGCAATTCAACATTAAAAAGCCAACATTTCAATGCAACAATCAGTTGCTTTATCATACGTAACCGTATCGTTTGACTTTCCCTTCCCGACCGTTCACATTGCTGCAAGCAAGAATAATTCGGGAGCGAAACCTAATGGTTACTCTTTTTCAACAACGAGACCAAAGACGAACGGAACCGTTGCAAACTAGCAAGGGACCAAGATTTACAGGGTGAACGCTAGACGTATCGTGCCTTTTAAGTAACAGAATCGTTTAGATTTGTTCTTATTTTCTATTGTAAATGAAGTCATAAAAGTAAGTCTGCTAGTTTTCACAAAAAGAAAGTTTTGATATAGTTAATGACACATTCTAATAGATAACGAAGAAGATGAAGAGGACGAAGACCAGGAGATTCCACAAGAAGAAGAGGGATCAACTGGTGAGTGCTATCTAAAAGCTGGACAACATTTATTACAATCTCGATTTTAGATTTTGTTTACCAGGCTTTCTCAAAAAAATAGTACTTCATTCTGCTTTTTTTGAATTCAAACGATTTCTGTCATGATTTGAGTTTTTAACGTAAAATATTTTTGCACAAAATGCAGCGATATATTACTTTTTAGATGAGGGTAGTACAAGAACGTTAGAAGAAGATGATGACGAAGATCAAGAGGCGGATGCCAGAGATGGGGGAGCAGTACCACCACAAGGTGGAGCAGCTGCACAGCAACAACAACAACAGCAGCCCATGCAGCAACAAGGACAAAGCCCCTACGGTGCACAGCAGATGACAGCTCCAGGAATGCAACAGCAAGGCATGCCTGGTCAGCAGCAAGCCATGCCTGATGGCACACAAAGTGGTACTATCATGATCCCAGGAGGTATATATACTAGATAATTTCCCCTATCGATAGACGTTGAAATCATCTGCTCATTGAAAGCATGATCAAAGTGGCAATGTATTATCAAAGTATTTCTTGTCTAGCTCTAAAACCATGATAAAAACTTGACTGACTTTCTCTTTTGATCAAGAAAGCTTCTGGGAAAAATTCGTCTATTTGTGTACATATTCAAGTCTCTATTTATAGCAGATTGTGATTAATGAAGATATTTTCTTCATCTTGTCCACCATGTAAACTTTGACCTGTTATTACATCTTCTTTCTAGGTGGTGGCTGTCCAGCTCCATGCCAGCCTGGTTGTTCCCCTGCTTGCACGCCTCAGTGTTGCCAGCCTCCTCCAATGATTGCATTGGAGCCAATCCCACAAATGATAAGGCCTGCAAAGTGGTTTGAGCGACCTAGATACCAACCTGGTCCACCAGTACCTCCTCCACCAGCACCTCCTCCAACATTCACGCTTAGCTGCCCAACACCATGTGCACAAACCTGTGCTCCTGCCTGCACACCATCATGCTGCCAAGCAACCTTCCCTCCACCACCCCCACCAATGATGATGATGCCCCCACCTCCACCTCCTCCAGTCTTCATGCCACCACCACCAATGCCAGCAATGGGATGCGCTCCACAATGTAACCCTGCATCCTGTGGTCCAAGCTGCCCATCATTTTGCTGCGCAAGATACATTTAAATGATAGGCCTTTGACTTAGGCCTATTTTTACAATACTAATGCAATAAAAGATGAAAGTTTTTTGTACAACTTTTGGAAAATAGGAGAGGATAGATTATTGCTATTTTACTAGCCCTGTGTTGGTTTTCTTCAAACAGCTGATACTAAAACATATCATCAATGTGTTAAAAAGTTGCAGACATTAGGTACTGTTCATAAGCATTATTTTGATCAAAATGCTATATTTGAGAGAATTCATGTGCAATGAATCAATGACCTCCGTTTTTATGCGTTTAGAAAAAGCTCTAGAAAAATATTGTACAAAGAACGAATCAATTATTCATTTCTGTGAAATGACTACATTGGAAATTTCTGAATTTCGTATATTATGATGTGCATTTATCAATAAAAGTTGTAAGTAACATTTCTTATCTTACAACGTAGAATAATCCAAAAGATGTAATAGAAAAATGTATGAACCTTTAACAGAATGGCAACCCCACCTCACTTATACACAGCTTGGCAGAGGGATGCTTCCCCAAGTTGGAAAACACACTGTTATCAATAGGAAATCCCCTAATCGACACTTATTAAGCCTCGTTTACAGATATTGTCTCTAATCTCATTTGGATAATGGTGTTATATGTGATGTTATAATTTGAGGTTTGATGTACAAACAGACAATTATGTAAAATATGGTTATAGATTATTTTCTTATGAAGATTAATAGTCTTTCTTGTGTCTGAGATTCCTTAAATAGTGCTCTTAAGATTATTGAAGGGTGGGAAAATATGGAACAAAATTAGTAGATGCCACGATAGAATTTCAATTGCTTCTTATGACTTAAGTCAATCACTCAATAATTGGCTTCAGAAAGATAAAGGTCGTTTTTGAGTTAAGACATTACAAGAAAAATGCTTTTTTTACTTCTACCTGTTATTTTGATGTTTCTTTTCCAGCAATACATGGTTAAAGGACCCTAACGATTGTTTTAGAGGCTAACATGCTTTAGATCAGGACATATTTGTGTGCTAAATTTGCCTACTTAAATCATTGCCTGGTTTATAGCCAAAAAGGGTATCATTGTGTTCCTGTAGTATGCGTTCTAGTTTCGTGATAGTCGATTAGCAGCTAATCAGTCTGTTGCTAATCAAGGCTGATCTGGCAAGAAAAATAAAAAGTAAATTTGTTTTGATTTCTTATTCCAAGTGACTCAAGATATCGTGTCGATCTGCCAGAAGTAAATGATAACACAGATTCTGCACAGGGTCATTGTCATGCAGAATAATTACTGTACTTGTCAGTGTTCAAACATGGCGACAGATTTACGCCCTGTCTGCAAAATAGATACAGTTAGAACGCCCCAAGGTCAGACGGGTTATCATAAAGAAAAGGCTCTCAGATTTGCAGGAAATTTGTTAAATTGGATTCAACAAATGGAATGCTGGCTCCACCCGCTAGGGTACATAATAATTGTGCATTAATTTGCTGCTCCACCCACAAGTTGATCTTCATCTCATCAAAACCAACTACATATTAATGCTCGAGGTTCAGAATTGACAAAACATGGATTATTTTCTAATCTCTGCTTTCTTTACAGTGGGCGAAATTTGCTTGCACTGCAGACGATTCTATGTCAGTCTGTTTATATATTCTGAACATATGAGCACTCTACTTTGCATAGGCCACAGCATGTTTTCACACGAACACGAATGGCTACAAATATTACAAACTCACGCAAGTGAGACAGTTAACATAGGAAAAGACAAAAAACAACCTTAATAAAAATTCTGAATAAAGTTTCTTATTCATATTCCCAGCTCATTTGTTGGCTTCCTAGCATTCATAGGCCAACCTCAGAAGGCAGAGACCCATGGCAGGTCTAGTTGCTAAGTAATTGACTGGTTAGTAAATTAGTCATATAGAAGACAAAGAAGATCTCATGAAAGCTGAGCATTGAAGCTAAACAATTCAAAATGCCTGGACAGTTTTACATCTGAAAAAATCTAATATGTGAGAAATGAAAAGTTTTTGTAGCTTTTCCTGTATATATGCTTTACGTGGGGAGCAAAATATTGTTTACAAAAAATTGCAATAGATAAACAAAAAACGGGATTTTGAAATAATGAACCTTATTCAAAAACTGTGAACATATTCTCTCCACAGAAAGGCTATCAAAAGGACTGTATTTTCCATTTTTTCTTGCTTGAGAAATTTTTATTAAGCAGTTACCTTGGTAAAGCCATGAAAATACCAGTAAGAGCAATAGAATGCTGTTGATTCTCTTAGAGACACCGGAATTTATCAACGTAAGGCAAATTAAATACCCCCGTTGCGTCGTGTTCATCCTTGCGGAAGATTGGGCGTTCGCCTTCCCACAGGCATCTAAATCTGGCTGGAAAAAGTTGTAATACTACTACTCAACGTAGTGCTATGTCTCTCATTTCTTTTGCAATCTATTGTTGTTGATAATTTTCCGATATCTTGCTCTTACACAAGAAACAAAGTTAATTGAGATATTAAGATTACACTTGTTGATAGTGGATATAAAAATTTTCAACGAGTTCTTTAGGTCTCTATGGAAGAAAAGAAGAAAGCGTGTACCAAAGACACTAATATTGCTTAAATATTTCAATTTATTGACACTAAAATTGGTTTTCACCAAAGACGAGTTTTTCACCAAGATAAAACCAAAGACGTTACCTTAATCTAAATAGCACTCTCGTAAGCAAGCCAGGTGCTTTTAGAATGCATCTGTTGCTATGAAAACTTACAGTTGCTTCGTTGCACAAGAACAGATTGGTGGATGTCAGGTGATGGCTCAAATCCTTCGTTCAAGGTCAATCAATTTGTCGATTTGTTGCAAAGCAACGAAAGTGCGAAGCTTACATATCCTGAAGAGAGGAATCTTATATTTCAATAGCACCACATTTATTAGTAATTTACTGCTTTAATCAAGAACAGCAAGGTTAGGTAAAAGATGATCAACTTTTGTCTGTGGTGCAAAATCCTGAAAAGTATTAAACATCGTGAATTTAGGTTGTTTATTAGCTTCTTTAACCAATAATCTTTACACAAAGTTGCTGAAGTAGTGAAACAAAATTTTAAAGCAAAAAGATCTTGTATCTTTTTCTTGTATATCTAAGCAGTAAGAATGCAAGTAAGATCTTCATTTACTTTACTGTCTAAAGCTAAACACGCTTAAAATTTTTAATCTTCATTTCAAGCTGATGTCTGGATAATTGCGTAGATTTAGAATCAAAATAAGATTATTTTTAATGAACGAGATCGGATTGTCAATGTCGTTTACAGAAATAAGTGAAATGATAGCAGGATGACGTCACATGAGCAAATAAACAGGAAATAGTTTCAGAATTACCAAAGCACTAACACGTCAAATAATGTGATAGTACAAAAAGGGGGTTCTTGGCTAAATTTTGAAAAGGGGTCTGCCGCAGCATATTCAAAGCGGTATCGTTGGGTAGACTAGTTATCACAAAAAAGAACCATTTTTCTACAAAAATTATACCCGTGGCTAGACTAATATTGAAAAAGGCCACCCTTAGCTAGATTCCTATTAGAACCATTCTAGTTAACAGATATCTCAAATTGTTTTTTAAAAGCTCAGAAATGCCAAAGGGTCGATTTGTTTCACTTACTTTCAAAGGCCGTTCTCTAGACCAATTTTGCCAAAGTCTAGAACTTGGCTGGATCGAAATTGCAAAAAAAGATCGGCTAGGTTAAAGGTCCGAAAAAGCAAACCCAATGCTCACGGCGGCACGTCTCTAAGTATCTTTACTTTGGAAAAACCCCCATCCCCCATACCATATGAATCTATCTATACATTAAATTCAGAACGATACAAAGCAAATGTGAATAGTCAAGGTTTGAATAAATGTGCGTAATCAAGACCAGTTTTTGCGACATTGATCAGACTGCATGTGAAGCTTTATGACAATCAACAGGGGTACCAAGTTGGCTCATCTTCGTGCTCCCTACAGGGCCGGCGAAACATACTTGATGTTAGGCGGCAAGAAAAATTTTAGGATTATTGTATTTTAGGGATGGTCAAAGACTGTATCTAAAATGGATTTTGACTGAAGGAAAACCATAGGCAAAATATTTAAGCTTTGTTTGATCAATGTGTACAAGTTTAAGGAAAACAGAAGAAGTATCAACTAAAATAAAAGGAAATTAAGCAATTTGTACACTTGAGATATTGTTTTGTAACATCTGATCTTAAATATTTTGGAAAAAGTGCCCTTTGACAAAAAATCTGGATTTTAAAACTTCGAACTACACTGGTCAAAAATAGTTTTAATAGAATTTACAATTGCGTCTAGATTTTCATTTTTAGTAGGAATGGATCATTGATAAAATCAAATGTTAAAATTGTCTTTTGTAAACTTTTGTAAAACAAATCTGCTCATTCTTTCTTTCTCATATCCTCAAAAATTTTCTTTTCGTCAGTTTCTTTCCCTTCCAAATCGCTTGCGACTTCTCTCTTTTTGTAATGTTCCTGAGAAATTTGTTGTTAACAAATAGATCTTGTGAGCCAAATTTAAGCAATAGAAAAAACGAAACTCCATTTATTTGTGCTGGCACCAAGTTATTCTGGATCAGGTTTCTCGATCTATTCCCTAAGCCACGCTGTTACTCGTTGTACAACCTAGACAATGACCGACTTCTTGGATCTTATTTCCCATATTCAAATTTATATATTTCTTCTATGATAAAGACATAACAACCAAGCTGAAGCTGAAGGCATATGCAAGGGATAACTGAGTACCGTTACAAACTACATTACTACAGAATGATATACTACATTTATTTCCACTTTTGCCTAAAATTTCCCTTTAGCTCTGCAGAAAGGTGAGGGGGGAGGGGTATGGCTTCACAGGTTTCTCAGGATCAGTTTAAACTACGCAAGTCGCTTTTTACACCAAAGATTCGTTTGCGGTGTAAAAAGCTGCTTTAGAGATTTGTGCATCGACATTTCAGTACTAATTCATTCTCGTGTGGTTTTTTGTTAGATTGTTTGATGTTAATGATATAGTTTTCCTTTGGAACTCAAAGCAACATTGATGTTCAACATCATTGCCTACCACCTACTTTCCAATGTACCATGGGTTAATGGGCTTGATTGTCTGTAAATTCTAATCCACTCTTCTCTGTGTTTGGCAAGAGCTGCTCAACTGCGTAGATTCTATGTAGACTACATGCAGAGAGTGCTATGCAGTTTCAAAGAATGGGAAGCGTACCAATTTTCTAGGCAGGGAAACCATAGAAGGCAAAGTTTTTCTAACAATGGACTGCAGCTTCCTTAGAACAATGTTGAAGATTAATTAATAAGCTTATAACTGTGGTTTTCGACAACTCTGACAGAGATGGGCAGAACAAACTTTTCCTTTGCAATTTTTTCAGCCAAGGGTTGGCCTTGACTTTCTCTGCGTACTTTGCAATACAATCAAAAAGAGACTGCCCAGTGGAAAATGTATGCAAAGAATCCTTTATAAGAGTAAACAGCGGTTTATGCGTTTTAGGCCTATATGCGGTTGAAACGCGTCATTTTGAATTTGCCTTGTTTTACCAAACAGACTTTCCGCAAGAGAGATTGGAGTGCACGAACAGATGCTTTCAGTACCGTTGTTGGAGCTACTTACGCTGTTTTTATACGATTTCATTTATCACAAATTATCCTATTTTTGAAAGTCACATTTT